TACGGGCCTGATTGCTGCCGGGCCGCTCATAACGACTTTTAAGATGACGAACAACGAACAACTGATGAACTGTACTGCGCTTTTGACGGGACCCAGCCTGAAAACGGCACCGGACACCATCTTTATCCCCGAAAGCTGCCAGCCGCCTGTCGAGAACCGTGGCATAGCATTTGGCAATGGCGCATCCCACAGCTAGACCCCTGTAGTTGTCCTTGACCCTGGGGTCGCCTTTCTTAAATAACGGACTGAGAGACGCCACGCAAAACTGGTCAGGCACATCCCCTGTATCCCAAATGTGCTGGAAAAGGTCTCGAATCGCAGGGGCAATAACATTGACAGACACCCTGTCCTCGTCACCTTCACGAGGGATTCGCTTGGCATACTTGTAGCACTCGGCCGGAACCATACCCAGACCCGGGGAACGCCCATTAGACAGGGACGACAAAGCCGCCTCAACCTCTTCAAGAGTGAACGGACCATTCATAGTGACGGCCATAGACCGTCTAGCATGCACCGGTTCGGAATCACGCCACGCCGCCCCGACTTGGGAGCCCGTACCGAGATTGATACAGTTGAGAATGGCACAGACACGGGCCTCCTGCACCTCATCGAAGGAGGCTGAGGCAAGCAGGGAATTGCGTCGCCGTAAGGGTCGTAATTTTGGCAATTTCGGGACGCCAAGGCGCAGTACATATGCACATTAGGTGATGCGAAAATTCCTCGCGCGAGCCGTCTCTTCCCTTCACGGTTTTCTCTCGTAGTGTCTCCTTTGAGGCCTGACAACTTAAGCGGTGTAACACTCTATGGGCAGATTATACATCAGGCAGATAATGCAGGCTTGGCACAGTTAAGCGGTGTTAGCAGGGGAAGCCAGTCCGGCTGGTACTTGTGCTTTGTCCTGATATTTCCACAGTAATAGTAGAGGGCGCTAGTTGTCGACACGTTTGCTGATGCAGCTTATGACGGGAGAAGGGCCGTCCTAAGTAATTGCGCATTACGTTCCTCACACGCGCATCACCTCTCCACGTTTCGAGGCTTTCATCTTGCACAGGAAATGGATTGGAATACAGGAAACTGCGGTAAAAGCAACGGTTGGGAAGGAATACGTTCGGGTATCGCCGCCTGCCACAACACTACAACAATTAGCAGCAACCCCTCCATAGCAGACCAACCCCATTTTTACGCATACTTTTGTCGCCCACTTTCTCATAGACTGCAACGAACAACTAATATCAAAACCTACGACAGCATAACGAGTTATAATCATTTGATTCTTCGTTTCATCGCACACACTTATATTCCCAGTCCGGAAAATACAATCTGCTTTCCTTCTGCTTACACAGCACATGACCACCAGCGGGCTCTGTCTTCGCCGACCTATCAGTCAGTGAGGCCGCGAGTCCACTGTTTTAACGAATAAGTGAATAAAGAAATAGATACTGGGTTTTGCCAGGATGGTCCTGCAATCAAGTTTCAGATTGCATCACCAATCACCCATGGGAGCCCGGGCTAGTTCTCCCCCCTGAAGGAGTAGCAGTGGTTAGGTACTGCTACTCCTTCCTTCCTTCCTCCCTTCCCTCATTGAGGGCTCCGATGCCCCCTGCCTCGACCGATGCACTCCCCCCCATACACATTCACGGTTGTACCGCACAGCCACACCTACCGGCCACAGCACAAACTTTAAAACATACATGCATACCTACATACATGCATACATACACAAACGCGTGCAGATAATTGAGTCGAGCTTGGCACGACACTGTGTAAGATGCACGTCCGATGGACATGGTCCGTACAACCCTCGGCTACTAAGCCGTACAACGTACCCCGCCCGCGGCAGTGTACGACGAAACGCACGCGCGCGCGCAGCAAGCAGCTGCATACCCCGCCTGCCATTCCATGGGCATGCCTTATAATACAGTTGGTACGATGGACTGTGTCATCGTACCAACTACCAAAACTAACCGCGCTCTGCAGCGCTTTAACGAACTCGATGGATACCATCTCGCCAGTCGTCAAACAGAACCCTTCTCATCAACTTCATCGCTGCCAGCACATCGCCACCAAGGCAACTGCTCGTACACACATGCACACAGACACACACACACAGACACAGACACACACACAGGCAGACGCACACACGTGGAACCGTTATATCTTCATCCCCAATACCCTACAGCGCCTACACACAGCCCGCCGGCAACAACGTGTTCAAACAAGATGAGCTCTAGAAATCTATACAGCGGGCGTTTGGGGGCAGCAGCTGCGAACACGACTGCTACGGACCCCGGAAGGGGGGGAGAAAGAAAGCAACCATGATGTACAACATGGGTAGAGACGTGTACGGTGTACGGTCCTGCCAGACCTCTTGCACCAACAAACAAGCACAACCCAGGCACATGCTAATCCGTACAGTACGGCCATTGTGTACAACACTCTGTAGCACTTAAGTGTGGACGGCCGCTGGACTGAAAGCCGCAGTCCCAAACCCCCTCCCCATCGAGAACTTGATAAAGGAACATGCGCACACCTGCCACTCGATGTCTGTCTGTCTGTCTGTCTGTCTGTTTGTCTGGTAATCTGTGCGGGTACCTCTACGCAGGCAGACAGACAGGCGGCCAGCCCCCCTGCACAACCCGCCCTTCCCCGTCCCTTCACACCTCAACCTTCGCCACACCTCCTCCTCACTCCACCGCCACCGCCACCACACCACTAAGAGTCCGACCAGAAAATCTTCGATTGATTCGTTTCTTCGCAAAGTGTCCGGTTTTAATACCCGACAAAACGACAAAACGCACAAAGGAGTGTCAAGAAGGTCCCCTCAAGGACTGCCTTTTTGACATCATTGTGCAGGTGCTTTACCAACGGCCCCCGAGTACCCGCAGTGATGCCGCAGATAGTGAGGGAAGGGGCCCCTGCGTACCTAGGTAGGTAGGTAGGTGGGTCGGTCGGTAGGTAGGTGAGCAGACGGGGAAGGGCCACCAGCAGCCGCCGCACGCGACCGGCAAAGCAACGTAGTCCAATAAATAGTTGGACAAACGATCCGTCTCCTGATCTGGGTTTTCTTAGTGCCACACATACATACATGCATACATACATGCAGCAATCATGGACACGTGCACCGATACACACACATATGCGGTGTTGGCAATCGGCAACAGACAGACATACAGACGGGCAAATACCCGAAACAGACATACAGACAGGTGCAACACACACTACAGGAACGCGGCGCGTCAGCAGCGGCAGTTCCCATTCGCCGTAGCACATGAGACCCACGGGGCGGTGCTCACTACAACTGTACTACAGCCGTACTCTCTGCTCATGCAATGCTACAGCAGCATTCATGACGATGTCTGCCTTTTACATACGACAAAACACTCGAGTGATACGTGTCTGTCGGATTGAAAAACCCCAAACCGCTGCAGTCAATGCGTCCCAGTCCACCCCAAAGATGTCTTGCTGCCGTTGATAACCACGTCTGTCTGTCTGTCTATCTGTATGTCCATTTTCACACCTTCGGTTACGACAACGGTCTTTCGGTCAGCGCTGCACTTCCACCGCCACAGTGGACTACAGCTCCGGTCACCGTCATCGTCTGCTACGACGCCTTAAATACATTACGTTACAGCTACAGCCCCCGTGGCCCCGTGCTTCACCTCAGCGCTTCACCTCGTCTGCACCTGCACCTGCTACAGCCTGGTGCCGTGCACGAGGTAGAGGCAGTTGTGGAGGTCCACATCGAAACGGTCCTCAAGCTGGCCGGGCAGGAGGACTTCCGCGTGCCATCCTGGAGGGTGAGTGGGTGAGTGAGTGAGTGAGGAGAGGGAGTGAGTGAATGAGAGGAGAGAGAGTGGAGGGAGAGAGAGATGCAGAAGAAACAAAAGGGGCCCATGGGATGATGATAAGGGGGAAGGGTTGGGAAGATACGTTGGAAAGAACTATCTTCAAGGGCCGACTCGGACAAGTAAAAACACCTCCCGTATGAGGTATGTACGTACGGTATACGGGGTACGGCGTACGGACACCACAACATCTTTCAAACCCCCGTTCATCTCACTCACCCCTATTCACACACATCAGCAAACCCGCATCTACGTGCCCAAGGCCCAGCGCCGCAACGCCGCCTCCCACCGCATTCTCGTACCGCAATCCCACAATGCCGTACCGTACGACACCACATACTTACCCGCCGCGCAGATTCGGTTGAGCACAATCCCCGGCGGTTCAAAATCCTCCACCAGATGTGCCGTACGTCCGTACCGCCTGAGCAGGTCCCTGAGCTTCACATCCGACAGCGAGGCCACCATTCTTGATCCCGGTGCGCAGTGCGCTGCCATGATGGCGAACATGTAGGAGGTGTGCGCGGGCAGCAGGTACTCCACAACATCCTCCACCTGACAGAGGGCGGGAGGGCAGGAGAGGTAGGGAGGGATGAGGAGGGGGAGGAAGTGGAGGAGGAGGTGGAGGAGGAGGTAGGGGAGGAGGAGGGGGAGAAGGAGGAAGGGGAGGAAGGGAAGGATGAGGAAGGGAAGGAGGAGAAAGGAAGGATGAGGAAGAGGAGGAAGGGAAGGATGAGGAAGAGGAGGAAGGGAAGGAGGAGGAAGGGGAGGAGGAGGAAGGGGAGGAGGGGCTGTAAGCATCAGCACCAATACAAACAGCACTGCTCGTGACCACCACAGCGACCTATTATCGTTGATGATCGTTCTGTTCTGTTGTTTATGGTGGTCGTAGTGTGTTGGTGTCGGAATAGAGAAGGAGTAGGGGGAGGCGAAATGTAACCCGCCTTTCCCCCCCCCCGAAATCCAAGACTACCTGAAAAGGTTACAACCATGCAACCCAACCACCCTACTCTCACTCACTCACCCCCCTCCCTCCCTCCCTCCCACTCAACTACCCACCCACCAGCCATAAAGTGGGTTTGGTCGGGTCGTACCCAACCAACGTGAGCCTCTTGAGCACGTGCCCGAGGTTGAATACTCCCCCCACCAGCGCCGCCCGGGTGCACGAGGTGCTGATGTTGCCCAGCGCAGCGCTCTTCTGCGCCTGCACTGTGGCGCTGTCGATCTCGTAAATCTTCATGCGTGCCGGCCAGCGCAGCCGCCAGGCGCGGGTGTCGAACCCGCTTGCCACATTGATCAGCTGTGTATGGGTGGTGTATCGGGTGCATATATGTATGTATGTATATATGTATGTATGTATGTATGTATGTATGTATGTATGTATGTATGTATGCAGAATATACATCACTCTATACATGGACTCTATATGTTGTTCCATGCCTTGTTGGCGTCCATGGCTTAATGGAAGTTGCTATGGCCACCACCCATAAGCCCCGAATCCCAGCGACACAAATCACACAATCCCCACTTGTTGAAATACACACCCTCATTGACAAATCCCCGGAACCCCCCGCCCGATTTCCCCCCCCTCCCCCCCACACACTTTCACCCCCCTGCTATCCTACTGGTCATTACTGGTCAGTACCTCCTTAGGGTTAAATACACCTGTGTGATGCAATATCTATCCACCTGTCTTATCATATTACCGATATTATTGGTCAGTAAATATCCCCACACGGTTCCTGTCTTACTCTCCTGGACTAATATCCGTCTATATGTCTGGTATCTCTGCTTCAATCGTCGCTGGTTCGTCTTACCCCCCTCACCCGGCCCCTATCGCAGCCACATCCTAAAAGCGCCCCCAAACTCCTCCCCAGGGGCTCGTTCCCCGCCGTACGGCTAACAGAAAAAAACACCCACCTGCAGTACACCCTCCTGGTGCGACCACCGCATAAGGCTCTCATCGATGACGCTAGTCCGTACGGCAATCACGGCATTCAAAAGGGCATCCAAAGGCTCTGAACACAGCTGTCGCTCCACAGACGCCGGCAGGCATCGATCCAGAATCAGTCGTACATATGGATCCAGAATCGTATCGATGTTGTGAATACGGCGGCTTCGAAATCCAAAGGAACACTGCCAGCGACGCAGCGCATTGACCACCGCCTCGCCTTCCACCGGGTTGAACATGGACCAGATGCGTTCGGGGGCCGTGTCGCAGTCGCGGAGACGCCCGTTCTCCCCGCTACTGCTACCGCCGCCGCCACCGCCGCCGAGATGGCTATCGGCGGCGCGGCCGCCGCCGCCGTTGGCGACCTCCGCCATGCAAAAGGGGATGTGTGCTTGTTTGAGTGCGGAGAGTGAGGACTAGCAGTAGTGTAGCTTACAAAGTAGGTCGAAGAGGTCGGAGAGGTGTGCCGGTGGGAAGCGACGGAATCTGCAGAAGCGGCAGCGGAGGCGGAAATGACCCAGATGGGAGACGGGGCCAATAGGAGGACGAACGCCGCTGGAGTTGAATTTGGAGTTGGTGCTGGTGTTGGAACGGGGCCAATAAGGGGGCGATCGTGGTGGTGATGGCGATGATGGAAAAGGAGGGAAAGGAGGAGGGGAAGGAGGTGGGGGAGCAGAAGGAGGTGGGGGAGGGAAGCGGCCGTGAAGGGAAGCGGGGTTCCGGTCGAGGACGAGGCGGCTGTGGTTAGCACGAGGAAGCCGTTGCAGGAGGAGATGAGCTGATTGGCGTGAGGAAGGGAGAGCAGTTTGTGGCTGTGCTTGGAGAGCGGTTTGTGGCTGAAGTGGCCGAGTTGGGTTGGGGCAGGGCAGGGAGCTCAGCGAAGCCACGGGGTTGTGGTGATAGCACCCGCTGAGGCTGCAGATCGCGACGAGGCGTCGCCCAGCGTTTGGGGCGACCTCGTCGTCTGGCTCAAAAGCCCAGAGAGAGATCCACGGGCCCGACTAACGTGCAGCAGCAGCAGCAGTACATCAGAGCTTAGTCGCCAGGATTCAGGCGTCGGGCTGCTGCGAGGGCGTACGTGTCGGACGTAAGTTTAACCGAAATCCGATTCAAGCGGTACTGCACCTTGCAAGCCCAGGCGCGAATGTGCATTATCGTAAGAGCGAATGAGGTTGAACATGATCAAGCAAGCAAACAGCAAGAGCGATGAGGGACGTTGGGTGCTATACTTCGAGAGCTGATCGTCACCTTTGTCGGGTTGCAAGGACCTGCACCCACCGGTGAGCATGTACGCTGAACCGAAAGTGGCTAACATCTTAGTAGCTAAGTATGCTTGCATAACATCCGACACGGTTCCCCCGCCGCCACGGACGCAAGGTTATCACGCTCTCTCTCGTGTTCGCTGCCAATCCTAAGTTAAAACCCTAAGTTAACACAACGTATTAATTTTCCAGCACATTAGTTGCGCCTACCAGAGTGGTGGGCTCGATAGTATTGGCCTGAAACGTGTCTACGTGTGGCTCGGCAAGACAGCGTATGGAGAGATAACGAGCTCACAATTATAATAAAACATTCTCGAAGACATGAAGTTCCTTGTCCAGCCTATGGAGGGTTCTCCCGGTCTGTTTCTGCAAATCGCCGTACGGTTGATTGGTTGCAACAAAGGCTCTTGGAAGTCGGAACTTGTACATCTCTTGAGTCACACCGGAGTTCATTTCCTCAATTCGTACACGCACTTATTGTCTGCACGCTTCTAGAACTACTCGCAGACTTTGTATCTTCAGGTTTTGTAACTTGCATTCATAATCTCACAAGCAGTTTCGGTCTCGTTGTGGAAAGGAGATGGCAACGTGTGATGATGTGAAATTGGAGGAGCTTCGCCGGCTCTGTGGTCTGGAAGTGGACGAACAACTCCGGGCCGGTGGCGAGGGCGGCCTTACAACCGAGACGTTGCGGCGTTGGCTGATCGCCCGAAAAGGCAATGTCAAGGAGGCGGCAAAGGATTTACGAGCGCACGCTGCTTGGCGCGTGGGGTTTGTCCCAAAGGGACGCGTCGTCACTGTAAGCAGTGCCGTCAGCTCTGTAGCCAGCTAATGACAAGGCTCTTACTCACGTACCAATTATGATTGTCAACGAACAGGAAGAAGTTCAAGACGACATAAACCAAAACAAGGCCTTTCTTCCGGGGTTTGATAAGTCTGGCCGCCCGTTCTGTATCGTCGTTGTATCCCGCCACCAAATAAAGGATGCCGAGGCATCAAAGCGATTTATCGCATACTCGCTAGACTGTGCAACCCTTCTTGGATCGAACAAGCCCGACTGGGACGGAAAATTGAATGGCATTTTTGACCTCCGAGGTGAGCATGGCACCCCGCTAGCCGGCCCTGTAGCTGCCTTGTTTGCCACTGGAACCGAAGAGTACATGTTAAACCTTGCATTTTCCCTGTCACCAATCACGTCTCCAGGATTTTGCAATTTTATATCATTCTACTCCGTTGCAGCAACAGAAGTTCTACATGGTATTCGCCCTTCCCTGCCATCGTGCCATATAGCCCGCACAGCAGCCCGACATAGTCACAAGCACGCACCCGAACACCGTCCTGACTTTACGTCAATCCCTTTCTATTAATTTGTCTGTTTGCTGTTGGATGTGTCCACAGCTGTTGATCCTTTTAATCTTATAATACTGAACCTAGATTGGTGCGTACCTTCTATATTGGTGCGTATAGCCAACCCATCATCCTCCACGGAATCGCGGCTTTGGGCGTCGGCGGCAGCTGTCTCTTTTGCGCTTAGTTGCATGTAGTTATCTTCCATCTTCCCCTGGGAACTCATTTTCGGCCATCACCACAGTCTCCATCGCATCTGTTTCTGGCGTCCTCAGGTCTCAAGCCGTCGAATTGCGATCTCGCCACACTACGCAATGTTTTCGATCTGCTGCAGCACCATTACCCGGAACGGTAAGATTTCCCTGTCTCTAAAATATATATTCTCACTGATAGAGGTAGCCTCCGCGCGGCAGGTCTATCTCTTGTTGGCCGTTGATCCCTGTATGTGCGTGGGGGGTTGGTTGGGTGTGTGCGGGAAGGATTCATGCAGCAGCAGGAGTTGCACGTTGTTGCCTAGTTAAGCAACTTGCCGCTGCGACGGTTTAACGGTTCGGATTGGAGAACCAGTCCGACAAACGTTATTGGGGTTTTCAACCAAACACGACCAACAGCAGGCGATTTGTTTGGCCCCATTGAAAGCACCAATGAGTTGGTATGATGAGGTAGTTTGGTGGTTTAGATGGTTTGACTTCGAGACTTCGAGACACGTACTTAAGTTGGGTTTCGCCTTGGACGCTTGGACAACGGCCTCGAGTTCTGTATTATCTGGGTCGGGCATGCAGGGCAAAGCAAAGGAGCCGCTTAGTAATGATATTCCTGGCGATGGCGGTGGTGGTGGTGGTGGAGTGGAATAGTCCTGATGTGGATATTCCCGTTGTCGAGCAACTTCCTGGCAATGCGGGAGTGGGGTGAGCATCGGCGGCGAAGCTGCGGTTGGATTTCCTCGCGTCAACTTCCCGGCGGCAGGTGTATCGTGATGTGCGTATGGATTTTGTAGTATTGGTGCTCTAATAATAATATGAGCCGAGGTAAGGCGATGATGGCGAAATTGCGAAACATAGAATGAATTGCATGTCGTGTGTGGGTTTGTTCAGGTTGAGTGTAGGAGAGATTTTAAATAATTCTTATCAAGACAAGAAAAGGATAGTAGCCTTTTATTGCTATCAATCACCTTGAGGGACAGGCTTTGATTTTTTTTTCGTGTTGTGGTGTCCTTTTGACAAGGTATATACATGATTGACGGACGTGGTTGACGTGCTTTGACTGGATATTATCTTATATATCCAGTTGATGGGCGAATGGAACCGGCGGTTAGCGGCCCAGGGGCAGCAGCGTAAGACAGCGGCGGCACGGCTTTGCGCGATTGATTGAGAGGCGTACAGCAGGTTTCATGAGAAATCATCACCAAACGTTACAAAGGGTACCAAGCAAGCAATTGAAATAAGTCTTCCTTCGGTAGGTATAGGCCGGGTGGAGGCCAGCTTTGTCGCTTATTATTGTTATTATTATTATTATTATTATTATTATTATTATTATTATTATTATTATTATTATTATTATTATTATTTGTATCCAATGTTTAGTTGGACCTTCTGGCAGGCATTCTTCTGTATGTAAGTAATGTCGTTATACTAAGTAAGGATTGACGTCAGGTGGTCTAGCGAAGGCGTCGGTCGACCCTCAACTGGATCTCCGGGATCGCACTGAACAACTGCCATCATTTTATGAGCGCCGCACCACCATGTAACATACATACATACATATACCATTTCAACTACAGCAATGCCCACCGCATCCTGTCACCGCGCACCAATCGCTCCAATCGCCCCTACCGGATATCGCATGCTGCTGCTGCTGCTGCTGCTGCTGCAGGCTGCACACCCTGTGGTTGCTAAACGCCCCGTACATATTCTACGGCATCTACAAGCTGGTGGTGGGTATTGTACGGGCTTTGTGCGCGGGGGAGGGGGAAAAAATCAAGTCCCTGTCCCGGAAAAGCATACAGCGTTGTGTGCAGAATGGGATATGGGGCAGTCCACCCTCCTCCCCTCTCCTCCCCCGCCCTCTTCTCCCCCGCCCTCTCCTCCCCCGCCCTCTTCTTCCCCGCCCTCTTCTCCCCCGCCCTCTCCTCCCCCGCCCTCTCCTCCCCCCCGCCATGTTGAAGCCCCACAGAGGCGGAGGCCGACCCCCACGTCCCTCTTGAGGTGACCGCCTCCTGTGCTTTACCTTGTCCATGTCTTGTTGCCTTGCCTCGTGCCCTTGTTGGTTGCAGTATCCCTTCATCGATCCGGTGACACGGGAGAAGGTGCGCTTCGTGTACGGGAAGGAAGCGGACGCGGAGCTGCTGGCGGCTTTCGACCCGGAGGTGCTTCCCGCAGAGATTTGCTCCCGGGGCACCGGGCGCTGGGTGTCCGTTCAGGAGCAGTACGAGAGGTTACTGAAGCAGCAGCAGCAACAGCAGGGGCAGCAGACGTGTCAACAACAGCAGGGGCAGCAGACGTGTCAACAGCAGCAGGGGCAGCAGCTGCAGGTGGTGTCCTCTCTCTCGAGGGGAGAAGGGGACGGTCTGCAGTATGAGGATTGTGAGCCTGAGCCGCTGGAGGGGCCCTTGGAGGCGGTTGAGTCGCGCAGACCTTTAGAGGTGGTTGCGTGATGGTGGCGGGTATCGGTGATGACAAGATGGTGGTGGTTGGTATCACAGCGGGGGGGGCGGGAGGACGGGGGAAGTACTGAGGTTCGTGGTTGGTGCTCGGTTGGACATACATACATACATACATATTTCCAGACACATATACACATACACGTACACCAGCTACTTGACATTGCTCTCCTAACCAACATTACCTGGATAGAACTACAGGCAAGCTATGTCTGCAGTTTTATTCTTAAGGAAACATATCATAACACGCGTCGCTGGACTAGTACTACTCGCTCGTAGCTTTAGTGAGGGATTGTCGGGGAGGGGTTGGGTGTATTAAGTTTTCCTTCTCAATGGGGGAGTTCCTTTCGCCACGCCCTGCTGCTGTCGGTCACTGTGTCGGTCACTCTTCCTTTCCGGAAGAAGAAAAAGAAAAAAAACTCAGATGTACATTTTCTACTGGCCAGGTGCCTAACCGGGAAGCAGGTGTCTTATCCTCTTCCTGAACATGCTTAGTGCGCCAAACAGGCTTTGTTTAAAATGTGTTCGAATGGATGGACTTGAAACGTCGCATACCGCGCAATCCGCACCTTCAGCAATATATATATATATAATGTTGCTGCTCTGCTGGATGGATCCGCACATGATGTAAAGCACATGATGTAAAGCAGCGCGGCGGATTAAATAAATATAAGGAAGGAAGGATGAATTGGGTTGGTATTGCTGTATCTGTATTCGCGTTGCGGTGGCGCCATGCAGCAGATTTTTCTTTTCTTTGTTCGCAAGCTACTAAAATATAGATGGCGAAATCGATGCTTGATATAGCTAAAGACTTTGAATTCTCGCAGCAAGTTGGCGGCCAATTTGGATTTGAAATCGTCCTTTGCAGCATAATTATAAGTTTTCCACCTAGTATGAGCTTTCGAAGTCGGCTATTCTGTCTTACGGAAATTGTCGTTAGATTATGGGCGGGACTCTTACGGTTTTAGGGTCTTTGGGGGGTGGTTTAATGCTCCGCTTGCGCCTGCTCTGCCTCCTAAGATCTTTGGCTTCTCCTGCCTTCTCGTCCATATTTGTACGGCACGTGACGCGTGCAATGTATCAACAAGGATTTCTCTGCGTATGTCGACTCGGAGATGTGCATTCATGTTTAAGTGTTGATTGGAATTAAGCTACCTAAATATATATAGATAGATAGATGTATAGATATACATGATCTCTGTTGAGGTGCAGATTGAGGATGGTGGCTGGTGTGGCGGAATGGATACCGAAGGAAAAGGGATTTGACAGGAGGACATCATCAGAATGTCATCCCTGTTGGTCATATTGCTGCTAGGAGGGGTGATGACCTCCTGCTACTGCCCTGATGGTAAGGGGGGGGGTGCTCAGCTACTGGTCCGTTTTTAGCTTTTTTTCCCTGGCCGGCATACGGGGTCTGGAAGTGAAGCGGTTGGGAATGTGTATAGTAGCTGTGACTGTTGAAAGGACTTCTTTTTAAGATGCTGATACATGTGCCGTACTATGTAAGAGGGACCGCAGGGAAGAGGACCGTTTTCATAGTTGTTTAGGGACGGTGCTATTTATTAGGGGTAAGAACATAGCTTTATAATATGTAACCTGCCTTCTAAGTACTGCAAGCTATGTTTTACAGCAGCCACTGCAACCACACACGTTCTGTTGTGATCTGCGAGGAACTCCCTCAGGTAGTGGGGCATGATTGCGGGTTTTTAAGGAGCTCTTTTGATAAGCATAACACCACCAGCAGTTATGGAAGGACGTATCTTTGATGTATGTATAATGCGAATGCGAATGGTTCCCCGTTGCCGGAACCGCTACTCCCGTACGCATGCCGCTGTGTCATACTAATGGTCGTACATTGGGAATTTGAAATTTCGACTCCCGGCAGGAGAGACGTTTGCAGGTAGCGAGGTGGTGGGCGGTGATACGGAGGACCCTTGCCGTACAGCCGCCGCACGGAAGGCCAATGAGGGCGTGCATGGAGGTAGTGGGACGAGCAACTCGTCCCCTGGGTGTGCGCTGCTGGGTAAGGTACCACAGCGTACGGCAGCAGGCTTTTAGAATACACCACCATTAGTTTCTCGTATTTTTTTTTGTCCACTGCATCGCTAATTTTGACCAACTGACGAAAGATAAAAGCCATAACAACAAGTCTTCCAAACTTCGTAACAAATTTTTCCCGTTCCCTCAGAAAAAAAACAAACACAAAAGCAGAAACAAAACGCCGACAGCCCTCCTAGAGGATAAAATTGCAAAGGTCCTTACCAACGGGGCAAGAGCAACGGCGCGCCGGAAGGACATCAAGAACGATAAGAGGCTGCGTGACTAAACCATACAGCTCAAGCACTGCTCGTCCATACGACCATACGGCCACAAGATTGGGCAGCACCAGTTCAGTATCACCGCGCCTGCTCTGCCCTCTGAGAAACGAAAGAACCCACATCGAGGACCAGGCAACGATCGCATTGTCACGGCATGCCGTACAAAACACAAACTGCCGTACCCATAATTCCGTGAAAGGTGAAATATTGTCGTCGTCGCGGCATCCGATGCGATGCATTTCGCGACACTCCCCCACAGCGAAACAAAGCGAAACAAGCTTCACTGCCGATAGCGCGGTACTTAGGGTTTAAACATTATTTACCCCCTCGGGTGATCTGAAAGCAAAAAAAACAATGTCCATCCGCAGCTACCGCGGAGTCGTCAATATAAAACAAAATGGATTTTTTCATTCGTTTATGTTTTCGTATTCTCGTACTATGGGCACACAACGTACCAGTCCTGCGTTGTTCTTGTTGGTGTTGTTGTTTGGCCCTCGGCCTTGCATCCCCCTTTAATGACACCCATCAGGCCCAGCCCCACACCACCGTCACCCATCGCCACCACGCCAGAGCACCATATGTTTCAATTTTCGCTTTTGGTTCCAGTCAAAATAACACTCAACCTTTTACAACACTTAACAAAGAAATCTTCCAGATCCTAAAAAGCCCAGACCGAACATCAGCCCTCCATCCTTCCTAACCTCCGTCATACTTGATGCTTTTGGGAGAGCCCCTTGAAACGGCTCTCACATGACTGTCACTCCTCCTCCCCTTCATCATCTCCATCAGTACGGAAGCGCCACCCGCTGGCGCCGCCGTACGGACGGCCATTCAAACCGCCGCCGCAGCCAGCGCCCTGTTGGTTTTCCTCTTCATGGTCATCGTCCTGCTGCTGCTGATGATGGTGGTGATGCTTCTGAGCTCCGCCGAACAGTCCGGAGAAGAGGCCTGGTGCGGCGGCGGCGGCGCCGCTGCCGTACGACTTGGCGCCGTTGCGCGCCGCCATGGCCAGACGAATGAGGGCGTAGCCGACAGGCACTCCCGTGACAATGAGGGTGATGAGGGTTGCGCAGGTGAGCACGGTAAGAAGGACGCAGCAAGTTACCACTGCGCCAGTGACGAGGATGGCGAGGAGCCCTGCAATCGCGATCGGGTGAATCCGGATAGAAAGAAACATCAAAGAAGCATCAAAAAAGGGGAAACAACCATTCGCGCGTGGGAAAGATGCAGATGATTTTTTAAGAAACGTTCGTATTCGCTTTATACGTATTCGCCAAGATGTCAACTTGCTAGTATGAGCTCAAGGACATATCTCCCATATTGTGCACGGGTTGTAAACATGCAATATTGCACATCTGTTACAAGACAGAGGAGGGGTGCAGAAGGGCCATTCGCAGACAAAAATCGAATAGTGGAATGATTTTGGCAACGCTCACGGACTGGCAAGGTCTGGCAAGGACTGGCAAGGACTGGACGTAAAGTTTGACGTCCAAAACAGGACGGAATTAAACTGGCTAAAGGATAAGCAGGGACCAGCAGGAGCAGCTCAGCAGGAGCTCGCAGGAACAAAAGCAAATCAGGTTTATTTCATTTGCAGCGACTTATTTCGAGCGATTTATTAGTCAGCGATATACTAACAGCGATTTATTAGCAGCGATTTATTAGCAGCGATTTATTAGCAGCGATTCATTACGCTGCACGGAACCTCACCTCCCGCGGCAAGGAGACTAATGTAGCCTGCAGTCACGACGAAGGTAAATGCTACCGCTGCAGTACGAAGCTTGTTCGGGGACAGATCCCAAACATTGAAGGAGGACGAAGGCGCAGAAGTGCTGCTCCGCGGCAGCAGCGCATCCGTCCAGTCGCCCAGAGCAGCGAAGCTGCTAACAGCTCTATGAGGCTGGATTGCTGTGGACTGATAAGCGTGATGCGCACGATGGCCATACCGCCCCCCGTGACGATATACCTCCAGCATTTCTATCAAGAACCGCCCAGCAATGAGCACGCCGGAGCGAGACGCAAAATCTCTTAGCTTAGCTTATCTCTGTAAATTGACTTAAGAATATTAAAAAGATGTCGTTGGCGCTCTGATGGTGAAGAGCGCGGTCTGCGCGACGGCGGCTCAAAAGTGGAGGTGTGGGAAACTGCAAAAGCGCGTCAGCACAACTCTCGGAGATTCTTACTCGGCCGATACTTAAGTAAATCCTTCTGACTACTGGTGCTTCATAAAGATGCAACGGTATCTGCAGATATCAGGACGCACAGGCGGAAAGCCGAGAGTTTTCGTGGCGGCGGCTTAGGTAGGCTTAGACCCGCTGGGCTAAGGTAACAAGGACACAACGCTCGGCCAGATTCTCTGTGAGGCACTGCAATTACCTACTATTTGATGCAGCAGAAAAAGAAGTTTGTGCAAAGAAGGTTTTTGTTTTGGGGGTGATGGCGCCTGTCGTGCAACACGTCGAGGTGACGATGGAAATCCCTTCGCGGCGCGCAACCCGCCTAAACCACAAAAAAACATTTCGTCACATTATCGCCCGTTAGAAAAGTTGCTCGGCAGCATAGCTTTCTTTCCTGCTCGTTTTGCTTCGTGGAAGTCGCCATCATCTCGCGGCCCGCTTCATATGCCGCACTAGCTGTCCAAAAGAACATTAGGTTGGTTCGTTCACAACCGAATCCATGTGCATCTTTATGAAAGGCGATTTCTTTTCATTGGTCCGGGGGCCTGCAAAGTGTTTTTCGCGAAGCGCATAGCTATCGTTGGCAAATTTCAGGAATCACGTCACGTGAAACTGCCATTACCTATTATGCAAAATTCGTTTAAAATGCTTTGTGATTTTCAGCGACCGAAAAAACGTTGCATTAAAACAGGGTGCGGTTGGGACGTGACCCATATGATGACCCGCGGGTCGGTACGATTCGCGAACGCGACTTTGGGGCATTGATTCCGTTCCTGATGAAATCCTCACATTTCAGCCGTGCGCGAAGATTTCAGACACGTTGGTCTTAGCTTTCATCGCATGGGTTCCCTGGGGCGCGGAGATGTGTCAGCACGCTGTTCATTGCTAAGAGTAGTCATGTTAGTAGTAGTCCGTTGCGCGTGGAGGATTATTGGCTTCGTGGTTAACTAGATGGCTGGGATTTGAGTGCGAACCAACCTAAAAGAAAGATATGGGAAGAAAAACAAACGCATGCGAGTAGTGTCCAGTGCGGCCCGTAAGCAGTATTCGTGGCGCTGCGGTACTGAGTGGTTTTATGAAGATGCGCTAGCGCATAGCTTTGTACGTGTAGTAATCAGCTGGCAATCTACATTGCTGGTTTCTTGGTAGGCCATGAATTGCATGAACTTGGTAGGCTTGAGTGTAAAAGTTGGCTGACTCACAACGAAGCTAGGCGTCACGCTTGCGACACAGCGCAAACTTCTTTTGGGCTTGTTATCAATCAAAAGAAAAAATCCATTCCTTACTCATGTATAATGAGTATGCTAAATCCTCGTAGAGGCGCATGCTGCGTTTGGTGCCGGAGCTGTCGTAAACTGATTTTTGTCCGACCCCAAATTTTGGCACCGCTGTTCTGGTGAAGCACAAAACTACCTTTTATATCTCGTACGCAACGATGCATGGTAAGTTAAAGCGCGGTCACAACAATCACGTCATCTGCTCCCTGTGCACTTTGAAGCAAGGCCTGTGGTCGGGGCGCCTCCGTCCTGCCTCGATACTGTAAAAAAAACTGCGGCTTGTCCGCTGCGTTCCCAACATGTCAAGGTGTGTTAGCCAGCCTCCAGCTTCGAAATCCAAGGTTTATGGGTCTGCCAGCTTGGGCCATGCTAATGTTCGCGGCAAGGAGGTTGACCTCTCGTTGGCAAGCGGTGTCGGAAGCCACGAGGTGGCCGAACAGCAGCGCCGAGACGCGAAGCAGTTTGACCGGTGGATGACGCTTCAGGTGCGCAAGGGAAGCTCATGTTGGCGCTGGCTGGGCGTCGTGTGCATGCTGGTCGGGACGCGGACAATCCGCGCGTAGGTTGCAGCCTTGGATGGGTCGTTTTTCCGCGCCGTTGATCTTACTTGCCTTCGTTCCTGACGGAATGCTTTATATGTTATATGCTTTCTGCGTAAATTTCTTTTTCAAGCTTCTGTTAAGCTTGATTCAAACGCATCCCCACTGCAAAGTTTTTGGAAGAAATCCTTTTTACAGTCAAACGTTTTGAAAGGTTGCCTTGCGATCAGCGAATTTGCTGCCAGCTGTCGGTCCTGGCGCTGGCTCTAGCCTTCCTCTGATATAAGAACTAAGTTTTTTCAACGTACATATATTTTTTCCATATTACCTTGATACGACATGCAACCTTAGAGATCCACACAATTTCAACATGGACGGGTGTGAAGAAAGTAATTTGGTTAAACGTAACATGTCGGTACCCTTTTCATCAGTACCCTTAGTAGCTGCAACTACTTGATTAGGAGGCCTTCCGTTCTGCGACGCCCCGACCTTCGCCCATCTCCCATCTCCCGTCTCTTCCCCATATCCTGTCTCTTTCCCCGACCGACAATACAAACAAACTCCTTGCTGCCGACTTGCTGCCTAGGGAGCCCACGTCGACTTTCTGTCCTACATCATGGCGCTGCTAATGTGCGTTGTGACGCTGACGCGCGCCGGGAGCTACGCCGCCGGCTGCCCGAGCCGTTCGGCTATTGCCGCATTAGCTGCCACGCAGCCTGCCGCCGCCGGGGGGCTCCCCGGCGGCGGCGGCGGCGGCGGCGGCGGCGGCAGCCCCCGTGCCTGTGGGTCCCGCTTCTCCGCCGATGCTGCCTTGCTAGCTTCCTTCCCTTGCGCCGCTGGTGACCTGCGGCAGTACATCTACACGCTAAGGTACGTTCTGCCGTACATTTGTGTACGGCAATTAAGGTAGTCGGGACGGTTATGGTACGGCAACCTGTTGGTCTGCTGTTTACCCTTTTTTTAAGCCGCGAAAGCCTGATGTATTACCTTGGCTGATCATGCAACACAACACACATAACGGCTCGTTCAAGCTGTAGTACAATCCTGCCGTACGTTGCCGTACACGCGGTTGCAGGCACCTTCCTGCTAGTGTGCTGCACGCTGCCGTACGCCGAGACTTCAGCGTGCTGCTCTACATGTTCTCGCTGACGGCAGCGCTGGTGTTGCTGCTGGTGAGCGTGAGTCGGTGGTGCTTGAGGCTGGGGGGGATGGGGGGGATATAGGGCGAGTAGGGGACTGCTGAGCAAGTGGAGAGTGAGGGGGCGGGGAGCGGGGGGGGGGGAGGGAAACGAGGTGTCGCGATTGTCGAGTGCACCAAGTCGATAAAGTTAACGGTTATATCACCTACAGTCTAACAGTTAACAAGATGTGGAGGGTTATTTGTGTTTTAAGGTTTTCAATAATTCAAAGCGGTGTTTGCTTTTGTTTTATGGGTAAGATAGTAGATATCCTTTAAAGTCGAAAGCATGAACGAGCGATTTTTTGAAATGCCTTGTCTGGATTTTAAGGATCGGTTCAGATGCCAACCGCCTTATGCCCTTTACCATTTTTCGGACATTTTTCAGACATTTTTCAGACGTTTAAAATACAGGACGTGAAATAGTATACTACATAACGACATCTACGGCACCATGGGTAGTTTCCTGCGCTAACCACGCTAACTAAACAAACAGTACTAACTAACTGTTCGTACATTCGCGGCTCGTGTTTCTCTCTCTCCTCCCGGGCTTCCTGGCAGTGCTGGCCTACGCTGTACGTCAGTGTACGGCACCCGGTAGTGCTGACGATCCGCTTCACAATGATGATCGGCAACCTGCTCGCCGCCGCCTACGCACCTCCCGCCTGTATCCCCGCCACAACGGTTTTGTACTACATGCCGTCGTACAAACACGTCATCGGTGGCGTGCTGAATCTGGGCTTCGTGTACTTCGCCGCGGTTGCAGTGGCGCTAGAGCGGGTGTGTCGTACATGGGTTAACTGTGGGTTAAATTGGTACATGGGTCATTCCGCTTAATTTTATCCCGTCCCTTGTACGAACAGGTTCCGCTGTCGTACCAGTTACCGTTTGGTTTGTTGGAGTGGTTTCTTGCGGTTTTCTCCGCTCACACCGCCACCCTCCGCACGCTGGGCGCTCCCTCCGCCGCCGGCCTTCTGCGGCCGCGGTGGCTGCTGCCGCACCTGGCGTTGTACTTCGCTGCGCCCTGCTGGGCGGTCTGGGAACTGGAGGGGGCGCAGAGGAACAAATTCAGGTGCAGGTGGACAACAGGGAGGGAGGAGGGAGGGGGGGAGGGAAAGGGGTGGGGTGGGGCTGTCCGGACAAAGAGGTTTTTGAGACTTGAAAAAATATGAAAAAATGGCACAACGGGGCGAGGAGGTGAAGAGGTTGTATTGGGGGTTTTGACGAGCACAGCTCAAGTGGTGCTGCGGTTTAGCGAATAATTGCCAAGGAGGGGGGTCTGCAGCTGCACGAGGAGATGCTGTGCTGGAAAATAGATGATTCTTGTAAATTGCGTGACGCTGCCGTACCTTTGAGCAGTGGTACCTCTTGAGGGCCTTATGCGGCTAATGCAGTGTTTTCGTTGTTGGTTGTTACTTGTTACATTATGCGGAGTATAGTACCCATTGGTAATCTGTTCGAATCCTCAAAACACAGGGGGGGGTAAAATAAAGCCAGTTTTAAAATGATTTATTGCCATTATGTATACAAAAGTCCAGGGAACGTACTGATATCTCTTGAGTAGGGGGAAGTAGGGGGGGGATCGTAACGGAGGGTCCGGATGCAGTGCTGCCGAAACACACACTGCTCTAGCACACGCGAAAATATCAACGATAACACTGCCTCCTAATCAACACGCTTCTTTGCTTACAATCGACATTACAGACAGATCATGGTTACGGTCAGCGCCCGGCGGCAGCAAGCTGCCGGGGAGCGCCCTCCGGCGGCGGCGGCGGCGGCGGTTTCAGACCGTGGACATAGTTTCGGATCGCGTTCTGTCGCTTGCGTACGGCGCTTCATCCTTTCACCAACAGCCAAGGTGCCGTACAACGACCGCAACACCTACGCTGGCGGCGCCGCCGCAGCAGCTAATCTGGGGTCTGAACGTACGACAACTCCGGCAGCCACGTCCTGCTCCTCCATCGGCGGCGCATCCGACGCCGTACGACGGGCACCGGCAATAAATGGTGCTTCACCGTACGGCAAACACGTACTCGCCTCCGCCGGCGCCTCGACGCCTCTCGCCACCAAGGTTCCCCCCGTCGCGGACCGTGAGGAGGGCGGCGGCGGCGGCTACAAATCGGCTGGGAGCAAAACGCAAGCTCAGCCTGCCGCCGCGGTGGCGGCGGCGGCGGCGGCGGCACCGCCGCCGCCTCATCAGCATCAGCCCTCCGTCAGCCCTCCGCCAATCCTCCGCGGCGTGCTGGTGGGCAAACCTGACGAGCGGCGCACTACAGTACTTGATCATCACCATCACCATCACCATCACCATCCTTGTCATGATCGTGATCGGTTGCAGCGGCAGCGGCATCCGCTGCCTGCCTACCAGGCACTCACACGTGCTGTGTTTTTATCTGTGAAGGTGCGGCTGGGGGGGTTTGGGAGGTGGGGGGGTTTGGGGGGTGGGGGGAAATGAGGGGGGAATGAAGGGGGGGAGTGGGTGACGATACACACACGTCGGCAACATCCCGCCTGTTGCCGTACACTCGGCTGCGCCATGTTTATTATTTCTGTGGGTGGGAAGTCTCAACTCTTAATTCTCAAATCCTTGTTCCCCCCTCTTGCTTTTCACCTTCCTTTTGCCTTGACCCGCTTCCCTCAGGTAGGCTGGTAGGGCACCGGACAGCTGTGCTTTGTCGGTGGATATATATCGTCCATTAATTAATGTCCAGTGTTCAGATGGACCTGAATGGTTTTGGTGTGGTGGACACTAATAATAAACCTGATGAAAAAAACAGGGATTTGGTTGGTCCGCCTAATAATCGCAGGTGAAGACGCACGAGGAGATGCCCTTCCCGCAGGCAGCAGCCGTGCTGGGGGCAACCTTTCGTACAACGATGTTAAACCTGGCGGTGGCGGCGGCGTCGGCGGCGGCGACGCCGCCAGGGCCGGTTTGTACGACAGCGTCGACGCCGGTTCAGCGGTTGCCATCCATGGCGCTAGCTTCCAGTGTGGTTGTCGAGGGCTGCGTGCACCTGCTCAGCGTCGTTACCAGCATCGGCGACCCGTGGGTCAGTGAGGCAAGTAGCGCCAGCGGCGGCGGCGGCGGCGGCGGCCGCGCAGCCAACGATTATTATGGCGGCACCATGTTGCACGTCGAAGCCGACGGCATCGACAAGGTTCAAGCGCTTCCAGAGCTGCTCTCCGCGCTATGGCAACAGCAGCAGCAACAGCAACAGCATTCGTTGTGGGTCAGGTCGCCGCTACAGCCTCCGCTGTGGCGGGAGCCGCAACAGCCCCAGTGGCCGCCGCCGCGGCCGCCGCCGCACCAGCAGCAGCAGCAGATTGAAGAGATCTGCTCTCCGGAATCCTCATCCTCATCACGTCATGCTGAAACCTTGTCGCCGTCGCCACCACCGCTGTCATCGTGCGTCGCACAGCGGCAGCAGCAGCGGCAGGTGCAGGGGCAACAGGAGCAGCTACAGCTACAGCTACAGCGGTATCCTCCGGGCGCCTCCTGGTGCCAGCAACAGCTACAGCTTTTTCTGGATCCAGTTGCCGTACCGACGGCGACCACGGCACCCATGCAGGAACCGGAATTCGTACAGGTGTCGGTGGTGCTGCTGACGGCGCAGCCAGCGGCGGCGGTGCGCGTGGTCGTTGTCGGCACGTGCGGCAATGCCGTACTGGACGATCTAGTCGTACCGCAGCGGGACGTGTCTTGTGTGGAAGGCGACGCGGCGGCGGCGGCGGCGGCAGGGGAGACGACGACGGCATTTTCGGATGACACCAGCGTGACGGTGGCGGCGGTGGCGGCGGTGGCGGCGGTGGCGGCGGAGGGAGCCGCTGCAGCGGCTGTAGCTAACTGTACCTCGCAGGCCCTGGCGATGTACCGGCTGAGGTAAAGCCCTAACAACCACCAACGGCTTCAACCGTGCCGCTGTACGACTTGTACGACTATGTGTCTTAATGCCGTTGACCCGTGAGATGCACTTCACCGACGTTCACCGTGGTTTGGTCTCGTTGTTGACTTTGAGGCCTTCCGTACATGTGTATGTGTGTGCAACATGGTGCCGTACCTGGTAATAAGGCGCGGCGTCCGCGCTAAAAACGCTTTTTGCCTACGACGTACGGAATGGATTTCCTGCCGTACACTATACAGGTTGACACTGCCGAGACCACGTCACCCCGGCGTGATGCACGTCCACGTGCTGGCCCCGCCGCCGCCGCCGCGGCCGCCGCCGCAGCCGCCGCCGCAGCCGACGACGACGCCAACAGCGGATATCGCCGCCGCCACTGACCCTTGCTGCAGCTGCAGCTGCAGCGGCAGCGGCGGCGGCGATGGTGGCAACGCCTCCGCATCCACTGCTTCCTGTATTAGCAGTCGGCCGCTGGCGACGCTGCCGCTGCTGGCGGTGCCGACGGCGGCAGCTGCGGGGGAGCTGTGCAGCTTACATGTCGCGATGGCGGAGCAGCAGCTGGAGCAGCAGCAGCAGCGGCGGCGGCACGACGTCGTTCGCGGCCAAGGAGACATGGAGGGGAGCTCTGGGGGGGGCTATGCCGTGGCGGGCATTGGCGACTCCGAAACCACTCCGACACCCGGGATGGTGATGGAGATCGTGGGGCCGGCCGCGGCAGTAGCAGCGGCAGCGGCCTTCAACCTACAGTTTCTGCCGCTGGCGTACGACATGGCGCATCTGCTAACAGTCTGCTGTTGTACGGCGGCTGGTGGCGGCGGCGACCCCGCTGCGGCTGGGAGTAATCCCGCGTCGGCCGGCTCTGTAACGGAGGTGGAAGTGTACGGCAACGGGAGCGGGCTGAGCTGGGCTGGTTCCGCCTTCGACGGCGGAGTTGTCGGCGTCGGCGGCGCCGTCGCCGCCATTGATGACGGCTCGCCGCTGGCGGCTCTGGCTTCCTCCGTGTTGTCCTTCCTGGGGCAATGCGGCGTCAAGATGACGGCGATGGAGGAGGAGTTGCGCGGATTGCTGCTCAGGTCCTGCATAGCGGAACTGCGAGCTGTGGCGGCGCCGACGGCGGCGCTGACGGCGGCAGCATCAGAAGCCGGGGAAGCAGCAGCAGCAGCAGCAGCAGCAGCAGCACTGGCAGCCACACAGGATGCAGTGTTGGCAGTGGAGAGCGGCAGCGGCAGCGGCAGCGGCGGAGTGCTGGAGACGCCGACGTCGACGGCGAAGGGGATACTGCCGCCTGAGGGATGTCGCGGGACGGAAGCTGGCGGCTGTAGCTACAGCGGTAGTGCTACGGCTAATTATGTTGGCGGCGAATCCGCAGGTCCGCCGCCGCCGGCGACGCCGCCTCCGCCGTCGCAGCAGCAGCTGCCGCTGCTGCTAGCATTACAGTGCGCTCACTGGCAGGTGCTAGCGGCGGCGGCGGCGGCGGCGGCTATGATGGGATGCGCTGCCTGGGCCGGCGGCGTGTGTACGACAGTTGGCGGTCTCGTGGTGGTGGCGGCGTCGATGACGTTGATGGCGGTTTTGGAAATCCAGGTGATGATGTCATACAGCGACGCCGCAATGTGCAACCGCGACGGCTCCTGGCGAACGGATGGAGGAGGGGTTCTCTGCGGGTTCGAGGCGTCGGTATAGGTCCTGGGAGAGTATTTGGGGAGGCCGACCACTGATAGTGTACGACTAGGTTGTACGGCAATGACGTCAAGGAGTAGTTAATCGTACATCCTGTACGACCACGATGGTTACGCGGTCAAAATGAAGTGTCAAGCACAACACACGCTGACACGATACCTAGGTAGTGGTAATTAGGAGAATAATAATTCTTTCTGCGAAGCGACATTAGCTCATTTGTTGCGATTTTTCTTTCTTAATCGAGAATCCGTTGACAAACCTTTGCGGCCATATTGACGATTGTGGACAGTAAGCGTGCTCTTTTGAGATATGGGGCCCCCCTAGGTCATACACACCTTTGGAGAGTAACGCACATACATACATACATGCTAGGCATGCAAACATGTAAGGCAGTTGCAACAGCAGTGGACAGCAACCCTTTGTGGCTTTTACTTCTTGTGTATATGTTTCGACAAGGGAATTTGAAAATGCATCATATACATACATGCATACATGTCGCGACACACTGCTGCGCAGCAAAATGAATAATCACATGTCGTACATGTACGGGTACCATGTACGAACGACGACGCGCGAGCTCGATCCGGATGCTTCCATCCACCCATTCCACGGATCACATCCATAGGAATGACAGGTCCCGCGGTCTCGGGTCCCCCTCTTCTCAACGGCCCCTTTGTGAGCAGCATCCTCTCTAATCTCATCGCCACTACCGCCCGCCCGATGTTAAAACTACCAACCCCTAAAAAGACAGCTACGCTTGACACGGTGTATACAGTTGTTCCTGCCATACACCGTTCTCAGGCATAAGGGAATCAGCCATGCTGCAGCGCTCTCATTCTTGCGAGACACGGGCATGGATTAGGGTTTTGCCTTTTCCCGGAACACAACCCAAGTGCCGGTCTTGTAACCCTCATGTGCGCCGGAGCAAGCAAAAGACAACCCTTGAGGCATGGCGGTGTTTATATACCCTGTCCAGTAATGTACCCTGTCCAGTAATGTACCCTGTCCAGTAATGTACCCTGTCCAGTAATGTACCCTGTCCAGTAATATACCCTGTCCAGTAATATACCCTGTCCAGTAATATACCCTGTCCAGAATATACCCTGTCCAGTAATATACCCTGTCCAGTAATCAAACACAAACAGCGATCGATGAATCAAACAGCGAGAGATACAAACATTCATTCTCTTTCTCTCACATGCCGTACAGATTAGCGCTGTACTGTACGACATACCCGTTACCCTGTACCACCCTGACTGCATGTTGAGGAGCTCTGTCGCTCTCCCTCTCTTATTCAAGATCCACAAAATAAAAACATGTCGTTTATATTTTTTCACAAAAGTCGTTGATGTCGTTAAAATCATTATTCGTCGTCGTCCGACTCAAACTTTGTGGAAAACGTGGCGTTGGGGTCAATGGCACCGCCTCGATAGGAGCCGCGCTTCTTCTTCGTCTTCTCGTGCCGGAAGTCCCTGCGCCAGACAATTGAAACTTGTAAGTAATCATTATATATACATCCCATTATTCCCAACATTACCAACATCCCATTACCGTACCCTTCCGTCTGCCCTCCTCCCACCCTGCTGTGCTGAGAACACGAGAAAACAAAACTGCTAGCATGCCATATTTTACATCATTTCAGGATCCCGCCAACGGCTCCGCCGCTGTCGTACTCCAGTTGTCGTACTCCAATAATACTCACTTTCCGCGTACGGCGCCGAGGACCTGTTGCGCTTTGAAGCCCCAACCCCCCTGACCGAAGGTACCCTCGTAAGAGTTGTCAATGGCGCCCTTCTTGCCGAGCCACTGCCCGGCACACACGGCAGGTTATGATGGTGGTTACAATGGTTATTCCAATGGTCGAAGTGGTAGTTTACTGTTGTGGTGGTTGTGGCGGTCGTAATGGCGGCAACTGTGAAGACAAATAAAGCGGAAGTGACGTGTACGGAGAGCATCCCGCAGATAAACAACAAAAATGATAAACGCAGAATTCAGGGGGTGTAAATTTCATAGGTCAAATCTATGTCTTATGTGTCCCCTTACCTCCTCCGCCTTAACGCGCTGGAAAGCCCTGCTTGCGGTGCCGCTCTGCAGATATTTAAATAGGAAGGATTGGACAGAAGGATTGAACACAAGGATTGAACAGAGAGGGAGGGATGTGAAACCTAGACACCAAGGCCTGACCCATGGGTCCATTCGACACCATAGGGAACATTTCTTCTTTTCACTCCGAAACCACGTCGGTCAAAATATTTTTTTATAAATGTAAAAGTATCCAGCAAAAAGCATCCAAAGAACAAAAGGGAATCGACAAAGGATGCCGGCAGAGCATCAGCATCAGCATCAGCAGCGGGGGGAGGAGTTCGTAGGTGACTGCTCGGAATATGTACGGGAGCAGCATGCGAAGACAAAATAATCAAAGCAGGGACACACACACGTGAGGCACACCGATTCTTAGAACTTGTATCATCTAAAACTAGACGAGAGCTAATACGGGACTTCTCTGTCTCTATTTCCCGTCTTTAATTTTCCTCCCTACATCCCTACTTCTCTTCCGTACATCATTCGTACCTCGGGCCCTTGGCTGCCCTCTCGACCGCTGGTTGCCTGCGGCTGCTCCTCTTCCTCCTCCTCTTCCTCCTTTCCGCCCTCCGCCGGCGCCGGAGTCTCCTCTACCGCCGCTGCCGCCTCGCTCTTACGCTTATCCTTCTTTTTTTTATCCTTTTTTCCAGAAGCGGTGGTAACAGCCTCCTCCTCCTTCTCCTCCTCCTTCTCCGCCGGCGCCGGCGACGCCACCACAAGGGCCCCCGCCTCCTTACCCTCACCACCCTCCTCCTGCTTGGCCTTCTTCTTATCCTTCTTTTTCTCCTTCTTATCCTTCTCACTTGCCGTACCGTTCGCCGGTACCGTATCTGCTGCAGGCGCCGGCGTCTTTGCCTCCTTCACCTCCTCTTCTTCCTCCTCCGCCGGCTCTCCCTTTTTGTCCTTCTTCTTGTCCTTCTTCTTGCTCTTCTCTGCCGTGCCGTGTGACGGCCCCGTCGGCGCTGGCGTCGTCGGCGCCGCATCCTCGCCCTGCCCCACCAGACCGTCAGCCGTCTCAATCTGCTTCTTACCCTTCTTCTTGGCCTTGCCGGCTGAAGCCTCTTGGCCATTATCCGCGGCACCTACCACCCCCTGCTGCTGCTTCATCTTCTTGGCCGCGGGCAGTTCCTCCGACTGCGGTTGCTGCTGCTGCTGCTGCCCAACCTCCTCAGCCTGACGCTTCTCCTTCTTTTGCTTCTTTTGCTTCTTGCCCTCAGCAGCCTCCGCCGCCGCCTCATCCGCCGCCCCGTCAGCCTCGGCGGGAGCAACGGCGGCGGCGGCCGGCGGCACAACCTCATCTCCAGACTTCAAACCCTTCTTTTCCTTTTTAGCCTTCTGCGCGTTCGGTTTCGGCGCGGAGAATGCAAAATCACCATACTCGCGACGACGACGACGACGATGGTGGCAAATGAACGACACGTACGGTACAATGGCGCTGTCGAAACGGACATGGCACCGGGCCCCTCTTCTATTTCCCTAACAACCCCCGTACGGCACTTGCAAAATGCAGTACGGTCGCGGGGTTTCCCTGGTCAGTCTGTGATGTCATGTGATGGGACGTGAGCTATTTCCCAAAGACCACCAGTGTGTTCAGTTATGTAGCTTACAAGGCTACTCTAAATGGCAGCCCCACCAAAAAAAGGTGGACTGGGAAGGCCGCTTCCCAATCGCTGCAAACACGTCCCCCCTCCGCGTTCCAAGTAGGCTCTACTCCACCCCACATGTACTGCTGTCCCCACCTTGGCTGACGTCGTCGCTGGCGGCTCCTCCTCCTCCTCCTTTTCCTTCTTCTTCGCCGCCGCCGCCGTTACCGCAACGGCAACGGTTTTGTCCTCCTGCGCCGCCTCGCTATCCCGCTTCTTGTCCTTTTTCTTATCCTTCTTCTTCAGCTTGGCAACCTCCTCCGCTCCCTCGAGAACAGGATCTTCCTGGGAAGGGGAGAGAGAGGGGGAGAGAGAGGGGGGGGAGGGGGGCGACACGGGTAAGACGTAGAGTGAGGGGGGGAGAGGCACGACGGGCAAAATGGCAGGCAGGTGGGCAGATGTGTGTGGCCAAATTAGGCAACACGACAACGAAAAACAGTCAGCCGCCCCACAGTTGTTAGGCTCCTTACAGCAGCAGGAGCAGCAGCAGTAGCACAATGGTGGGTGCAGCATCATTGCATGATCCGCTCGCTCCCCAGGTGAGAGAGAGGAATTATTATCAACTGCTCTCTGCGAGATTCGAAACGCCACGCAGCGCTGTTCTGGTTAAAAGTTTTGTTCCTCAAAGAACCAAAATAAAGTCATAGGCTGGGTGCTCCTACTTGCGGTTTATTATTTTTTACGTATACAGGTTTTACGCTCACGTAAGACTACATAAAACTCAAAAACATTTCGCCACAGCGCGTTCTATTTTTCATAATTAGGAGGAAAAAACAACGGTAAAAAAGGATTCTTCAAAAGTATCGAGCGAGAGCGACAGAGAGACGCACCAAGGCAGTAACGGCGGGAGCCGGGTTCGCATCCAGGGGTACAGCGGGCTTAGGAGCAGTCTCAGCAGCCTCAGCAGCCTGGGCAGCAGCCTTTTTCGCCTTCTTAGCGGACTTCTTTTTAGAGGAGTCTCCGTTTACGCTCCCATTTACTTTGGCCTCCGGAGCCGGGGTCACCGCCTGCACCGCCTCCTCAGCAGCTTCCTTGGCGGCCTTCTTCTCCGCTTTCTTATTGTCATCCACCTTCTGTAGGCATCGCGTGAGGCGGGACGGGGAGCTAAGGGTTTTGGCGTAATGGAAATCGCGATGTGTGGAGTGAGCCAGGAGGCCGGAGAGGTAGGTCGCGTTGGGAGGGAAAGAGGGCGACGAAAAGCTAAGGGTGGGTGCGCTGAGAGGGAGAGTGAATATTCCGTGTGTTGGGCTCCCCTTCGCCTGAGTCGGAGGTGCCGAAGGGGCTAACAAGCAGTGCAATCCTGGCAGGACCGTTAAGAAATAATGAGTGCAAATATGACAATGTGGCGAATGCAGCTGAAAGCAGTAACTGCCTTGCAGGATGTCGCGCTAGCGGCGCCGCCGCGAAAGCACGCAACTCCGGGGCGAATACAGCAGCAACTTACTACTGCCTTTTGCTTCTTTAGCGGCACCTCCTCCGCCGCCTCCTCGTTCTTTCGCTTGTCTTTAGCCATGGCTTAAAAAAATATATAACCGAAGCTGCCGACAATCTACCGAACGAAGGCCCGTCCAAAGCGGTGCAGCCAACCAGTGCTCCTAGTTCGCAATGTGGACAACGTGGAATGCTCGCCGTAGTTTAGAGACCCAAACTATCACAACCGATGTGTACGACATCCGTAAGGCTCTCCTTCTGCACATGTCATGACTTTATCTCTGTGTTGTTCAGTTGTTTGTTCTCCGTAAGCCACTTTTGAAGGAGGCCGTATGTGCGAAGATCGAGACGCGTTTTGCTGTCGAAGCTTTGGCATGGCCGTGAATGCCCAATACGCCCTGACTTGGCTCCGTTTTTCTATTCAACCTGGATTAAAACTAAGGGTCGACAAATTTGTTGGTTTAATCCAACTAGTTATGCTTTGACACTTTCCCATCGCCGCACACGCGCGTGCTTGTGAAAAGTTCTTGCCGACAAAACAGGTCCTCGAAATCCCCATAACAGGTCGGATATGGGATATACGCCATAAATTCCGTGCCCTTGTGCCAGTCGGTGCTGATGCCGGTGCCGGTGCCTTCTTCCCAAAGGCGCATATAAACGGTTGGGAGATCGATCATTCCATATTTTCCGAAGCAAAGGAACTCCAGCGTGTACGTTGTCTACGAGCAAAAGACAAGATGCCCAGCGTAAGCTGCTAGCATTTGAAGCCGTTCCGGCTCCGCTGTAAGAATCGCTTACAAGATGTGGTTCGGCACTGCTAACGGACCTGCTGGACCGCTTTGAAAGCTCCTAAAATTGAGGTTCCAAAGGAACAGACGTCCGTAAAACTATTATTTAAAATCATTAAAATTCTTATTACTGTCATTTTCGTTGAAATTATTGTCTGCAGATTGTAGCCTGGTCGATTCGATAGGGATCGCCCAGATCGCCCCTAGCTTTTTACAGTTGGGTATGCGACAGAATTGCTAGTGACATACAGCCGCGAAGCCACAAGGAAACTATTTTCCAGTTTTTATTTACTTTTTTATACGTACGTATAACCGCGGGTCCCTTTCGCGAAATCCTTACTTCCGCGGCAACTGGTTCCCCCGCTCCGAAACCCAAATCAACATTCTCCTGCCCCCTGAATGGAGTGTGCTCCAAAACCCAACCTAAACCGCTTATATCATATCCTACACGGCCCCCTCGGCGTTCCTCGTGGCGTCTCCCCCCTCCGCCTCCTTAGCCCGAATCAGTTCCAATACGCGCGTTCTGAAACCCACAACATACGCCGGCGTCAGCCAACCGCCCATACCCCCCTCCCGCGCCTCCCACGCCGCCACCGCCTCCCCCCCCGCTCCCCCCAACCACCACTCGCACACCGCCCGCGCCACCGCCAACACATACACGCCACAGTCGTACCAGTTAGTCTGACTCGGCATGTACGACACCTCGACCAGTTTGGGTCGCGCGACGCTGCTGCCACCTCTGCCAATATCCCCTCCATCGCCACTACCACCACTACCACTACTTTCACCCCCCCTCCTGGCATTACCGGCACCACCGGCATTACCGGCAGCATTATCATCACCACCACCAACCAGAGCTGGTCCCACAGCTTCCGCTAGCTTCCTAGCTGCCCAAGAACTCCTGGAGGAGGGCCTCCTGCCGCCACCGGGGCCGGTGGGGGAGGCGGCGGCTGGAGGGGAGGAGGCGGGGCTCGAGTCGTAGTGCCGTAGCGTGTTGGAGGGGCGGTGGTACACGAGCAACGTCCTGGAGGGCGGGTGGGTGAGGTGAGTGGAGGGCGGGTGGGTGAGGTGAGGTGAGGTGAGGTGAGGTGAGGTGAGGTGAGGTGAGGTGAGGTGAGGTGAGGTGCATGAAGCTGAAAGGTGGTGGGAAAGAAACCTCGTTCAGACATTTTACCTTGTGCACAGGCATGTATGTTGTATGTTGGAGGAAAAATGTTGGTTCTTGCCTTCCTGCCTGCGATTGATATTGTTGTTGGTGTGACATGCATATTGGTATGTGCTTGCGGCATGGTATGTACGACACGAAGTACGTCTCCACATGCCACGTACACATGTCCATATTCCCCCCTCCATAGCGCACATACACGTCCATCCATCCATACACACCCCTCCGCCAGCCCTGTCACACGTTCTGCTTTTCCCCCTCCCTCCCCTCCCCCCTTCCCTCCCTCCCTCCCCCCTTCCCTCCCTCCCTCCCCCCCTCCCTCCCCCCTCCCTCCCTCCCCCCTTCCCTCCCTCCCTCCCCCCCTCCCTCCCCCCTCCCTCCCTACCCACTTTCTCCCTCCCCCCTCCCTCCCCCCCCCGCCCTCCCCACTTTCTCCCTCCCTCCCCCCTCCCCCCTCCCTCCCTCCCCACTTTCTCCCTCCCTCCTCCCCCCCCTCCCTCCCCCCTCATCACCAGTGGCTCCCGCCCTCCGCCTCATCCACGTGGGGGTTGTCGTTCACCGGGAAGAGCACCAAACTCCGCCGATGGGGCTGATGAGGGTGCAGGAGTGGGGGAGGTGGGTGGAGGTGTTCAGATGCAAATGTGGAGTTGGGGTCAAGTCATCATGGGGTCATCAGGGGCCGTCGTGGACCATGAGGGGGTCACCAGGCGGTTGACATCCTCAGTGCATCCACGTGGAGGCCGGGGCCGGGGCCGGGGCAGGCAGCCGAAGGATGTAGACAATAGATCCCTAGCTTGACCGCTTACATACATACACACTTACATACATACATACACACTTACATACACACTTACACACATACGAATATGTACGTAACCCCACCTGGAGGGGCTGCAGCACCTCAGTCGCCAGCTCCGGAGCTGAAATGACCCACGGGTCATTATTATCATCATCATCATCATCATCATCATCATCATCATCATCATCATCATAGTATCAGATCGCGGGTCAAGTGGGATGGAAGGTCGGAGAGAACCACATTAGGACTATGTGTGGCAAGTAGTGGCAAGTAGTGGCGGTAGTGGTGGTGGTGGTGGTGATGGTGGTGGGTGAGTGGCGACGGCGGGGGCAGCGGCAATGATAGCGGAAGGGGGAGAGAGGGAGGGGGAGGGGGAATGGGGAGGGGGAGGGGGAGGGAGAGGGAAAGCAGAGGGGATGACGGAGGAAGGAAGGGCCCAGCAGTTCCTCACACAAGTAGATTTAAAAAGCCAGAGGGCTTCCAGACGGTCCTAGTTCCCCGCAGTGGCAGTGGCAGTGGCAGTGGCAGTGGCAGTCTTCTCCAACGAAATTTCTCCCGCCTCCTCGCCCTCATCCTCCGCCTCCTCCGCCGCCGCCTCGTCCAACCTTAAAAACCCAGGTCGCCACGCGACCCATGGGACTCACGTGAATGCATGAGCAGGAAGGAAGTGGCGGGTGGTACCAACAGAATGCCGCTAGCAATGTCGCTGATGTCCTCCCGAAACTCCACGTGCTGATTATGTGATGGGAGCTGCTGGTGTTGGTGCTTGGTGCTGGTGGTTGTGTTGGTGGTTGTGTTGGTGGTTGTGTTGGTTGTGTTGGTGGTTGAGACGATGTGCGCAGAAGTTGATCCGGGGGGTGAGGCAGTGGCGGCCGCCTCAACTGCCCCATGGGTCATTGTCACCTCTTTCGATTGATGCGAGGAGCCGCATTCCTGCAGCAGTCCCTCTCGCCCCAGGTACTCGAAGAAGAAGGCAACCACCTGGGTGGTGGTGTGGGCGGTACGAACAGAAAAACGTCCCGTGGGCCCGTCAAGGATGCGCGACACGCATTGAGAGATGTGTAGCAATGCTACACATGGGCACATAACGGAAGACTCTGCAATTTCCAGGTATGAAGTCGGATACGATTTTTTGTACGATGTCATTACTGCCGTACATGACATAACATGCAGCAGTTGGTTGACAGTTGGGCGATATTCTCTGGGTAGCTGGAAGCACCGGCAACTGGAGGTTAGATAACCCCAGCTTCTGGGTTCTTTTCCTAAATACTGTCGTTCTACGTCCTTACAAAGCGGAGGACGAAATGGGGCTAGGAATGCGAATTGCGGATTACAGGAAAGCTCACGGCGCTGCGCAAAGACCGTACAAACCGTATGCTGTATCTGTTTGTCACGAGAGTTCATCTCCGCCGCGCAGAGAGCGCCCCAAGTGTTTCGTAGCTTTGTTCCCCGTTTCCCCCCCCCTCTCCTTTGGTGGCATCCTCAACGGAGCACCCACGGAGGCCATTCAGTCTTTTAGATCATGTGCCTGCCCGCTGGTGCTGGTTGTTATGGTTGTTATGTTCGTTGTAGCAGCGCTGGTTATGGTGGTCTTTATGGTGGTTGTGGTTATGCTGGTCGTTGTGATGGTGGTTGTATTGGTGGTAGTGGTGGTGGTGGTGGCCCGTATAGGGGTGGTGGGGCATAAGGGGTGGTGATCACTCATGATGCTGTTCAGGAAGAGGATCGATGCTGTGGACGATATCACATGTAAAACAAACAGAAGAAGGCGCGAAGGTGAAAAAAGGCCGGGAAACGAATTATCGAAGGAGACCGTGAAGGAGGTTCCCTCATTCCCGCATCACTCCCCCCCCAGGTCTGTCTGCTCCTGTCAGCCGTGATTGGTTGATGAATCGGTGCTGGTGTGGATTTGGATCTGGATTTGCATCGAAACTGATTTGTGGTTTTAATGCTCTGGAGGAGGAGACGCAGAAGGATGCAGGGGAGGAATGTCCTGCCCGCATTTACAACGTCTCATCCTGCCCGTTCACCACCCGCCCCTCACCCTCAACCTTTTAATGACAGGTTGTGGCACCCCTTGAGGTCGTTGGCGACCGGCTGGATGCAGAGCGCAGTAGTCCCAGGCTGCCTAAAATCAGGCATGTGCTTTAAGGCTATGACTTTTGGCATGCAAATCTTTGCCACTCAGGGGAGGGTGTGCGCCTCGGGTACGATGCTGCCTTTCCCAAAGAGACTTTCCCTGGTCAGGCAACCAAGTCAGTCCTTACCTGGTCGTTCAGCCAGTGCGGACCTTCTAGCAAGGCAACATCCTGCTCGCGTAACAGAACGTCATAGTAATCTAGAACTTTGCGCTCACCGGCACGCTTCCTTTGAGCATGCGCCATTTGAATCAACTGTCGAGAAGGTTGGATAAAGCATCAGGATGAGATTTTACGCCAGAGAACGGCAAAGAGCCAACGCTAATCATCATACATAGAGTCAGTCCCAGTTATACTTTTAAACACGTATAAAGGGAAGATGACCGATAACATAATTATCAGAGTATTTCAGCGCTAACTCCCGGTCGACGAGTTTTAGCTTATGTGCTATCGTGGCCATCCTTATAAGATGGAAACAGTTACCGTAATCGACGACCACTGCTTTGCGCTTAGATTTTGGAGAGCCGGACGGACAGAAACGCACATCCCGCTACAGATGCCGTACGGTGAGTCGCCTGTAGTTCATGATTTCGGAAGCACATGAGCCGACATGGTTTATGTTTGTGATCCACCCACACCAGTATCCACACAGGGCAGCATATAGGTCCATATATCCTTTGCTGACCCCAAAGAATTTCATCCGATAACTTAGCTTCATCGATTTAGACTTAAAATCGACTTTAGACTTAACAGTTTGCTCGTCCTGGTACAAATCTTTGCATCTCAATAAGGACTCATTAAACCATACCGCACGTATCCTCGCGCGCCGTCGCAGTCGCCCAATGGACTGTGAAGAAGATGTTTGCTGGGTCTGCTTGGAAGGAGCAAGCGAAGTTTCTGGTGTGCTGGAGCATCCATGCGCCTGTCCACGAGGAGTTCACGCGAAATGCCTAGCACGATGGCAGGTGGGTCGGTTAGGTCGAAGCCTAAGAGGACCCTGCTTGCATCAAGCCGTTATACATTTTATACGTTCATCTTAAATCAATCAGGCTACAAAAATCGTGTTTTTCGGGGCAGACTAGTCATTCCTGTTGCTTAAACGGAAGACGTGAGGCGGGTGCCGTTGCTTACATGCAGACCCTTCACCACTTTAACCACCGAACGTCCCCATCTGATGTAGCTTCAATCAGCTGGCCGAGATGAAGAACGCTACTGCCGTTTCTGCAAATCGGAGCTGCCGGACTGGCGCGACATCCTCACACCAAAAGTGCCGGCAGCACCACCGGTCATGGCGATCGTCTACGACGGCAAGGTGAGTTGTTTCATGTATCATCCTCCGGCCATCCTTGAGGGCCCCAAACCAAAGCGCATATGCGATTTTTTAACGGCTGAAAACTGGGGTGAAAACACTGGGGCTCGTACAATTGCCGGCGCCTTATCACTCCTGCCTAACCGCCGTTTGCAACAACCGCACATTTTCCGACAGATTTTCGCACCACCGTCCTCTGTAAATCAAGCATACCAATCAATCTTCCATTTGTTTCTACCATTTACAGGTAGTTCGATTGCAAGTAAAGCCTGGTCGCGAAGGCATGTTGGAGTTCCAGCGCCAGGTCCGTCGCGCCTTCAACCTTGGTGAAGATGTCGAGCTAGACTGCGTCTTCGATTGCAGGTAATCATCGAACGGGTTCAGTTACAGCAATTTAGGTGCTGTTAATCGGGCACTAACTCACTTTTTCCATTATCTTTCGATGTCTTTTGTGAAAGGTATTTTGTTAGATGTATTACATGTAAATTACACTTCTGTCAACAATAATATACAATTATGGTGCCCTTATCCTGCAAAAATACAGAGCTCCAGGGACAGGCGAAAAAATAAAGCTGCGGGGTCTGGAGTCGTATTCCGCCGCCATGCATTGCGCCGCCGTCGCTGCCGGGGAGCGCATTGCCAAACAGAAGGCCGAGCTCGGGATTGGCGGCGGCAGCGGAGCCGTCGCCACCAGCCGCAGCCTGACCAGCGGCAGTAGCAGCAACAGTCTTGACGGCGATGGCGGCAGCAGTAGCGGCGGCAGTAGCAGCGCCGGTGGCAGCACCAGCAGCGGCGACGTGAGCCGCAACGGTGCGAGTCCATCAACCCCCAGAATGCCACAGCCCTCTCTCCCTGACGCCGTCGCCGCAGCAGGTTCACGGGTTGCCTCCACCACCGACGTTGCTCCAACAGCAGAGGCAGCAGCAGTTGACGCTGCTACTGCGGCGATGGCGGCGCTGTCAGACTCTACTCGACCAGCCCGTACTCCTGTTTCTTCCGCCGCCGCCGCCGCCGCCTCTGCCGCCGCCATTACAACGACGCCGGCGGTGCCGTGGCCTCAGTCAGCGCGCGCATCTGAGTACGAAACGTCAGCCGCCGCTGCCTCGTGCCGCATGCCGGCCAGCGCTCGTACTCCGCGGTACGGCAGCCTGGCTCAGGGTTTGACTGAGGTCTTTTCTTGCGGCGGATCTGGATCTCCCATCGGGCCCGACGATTCTCCCTCCACGGCGACGACGCCGGCGGTACGATCAGCGCCGCCGCCTGGCGGCTGCCGCCGTTTCGAGGAACGGAACCAGTCGCCATGCCGTACTGGTCGGAGACGGAACATCTTTATGGGGCTTATCCGTGGCCTGGGTGCCGTACGACGCGTGCTCTGATGACGATGCGTACTTTGGAAGATCTGCTTCATGAAGGGCAATACGAAGGTTTGACAGGCGCTCGGGATTTTTAAAAGAACCGCGTCGTACGGCATTCACGTGGTGAGTGGATGCTTTGGGTTTGGCAGGTTGGAGGTGTACGGCATGAAAGCGCCATGACATGCGATTTGCCTTTGCCCGCGGTCATCGAGGCTATCATGTGGGTCTATCATCGCGCTAGGGAGCTTAGCTGTACATGATCACAAGTCGTTGCCTGGTGCGCGTGATCGTACATTTTGGATTTCAGTTTATACATTTTTAAGTTTACATTTCACTGAACGTGAACGCGAATCTTTATTTATGTTTAAATGTGGTTGGTACGTCGGTGCTCCGTAACTTGCATCCGCCGTACAATGCTGTACGGCGACCACGGTTATGTGACGTGGCAGCAGGAATTTGGCTTTGTCTGTGTTGACTTTGCGCAGCTCGATGTGACTGTCTGTCTGTCTGCCCGATCATGCCGCACTATCGCAGTTCGATTTGTACTGCGTCTGCCGTACGGTAGGTACTGCATTTTGTTGACTTGCGTGTGTGGTGTGGGAGGGCACAGGAACGCAGGTGCGGGGCGGGGTGCTGCTGGACCCCTTTTTCATTCATGTATGCGATTTGACAAATCTGACAACTACGACATGAACTATGTGAACCACATGTGCGTGTGTGCGTGTGACAAAACACGTGGCATGGCTTAACAGGTAGGTTGCCGCAGCAGTTTGGCTCTCGATGCAGTGTTTTGGGGTCTCTAGTTTTCGTCGGAAGGGCATAAAACGGCATATTGCCTATTTAAGAGGCAATATCTGCGGCAATGGCGGCCGCGGCGGCGGTGATGATGACGTGGGACTCGGAGGTCAGGTGTATTGAACCCTTACTTAGTAGTAAGTGCCGAGCACGCGCACGATCAGTGGGGTGCTGATTGTACGAGTGTGTACGGCGCGGAGTGTACGACAGCAGGTGACTGCAGGGAGTCTGGATGCATAGGCATGTGTGAGATGCTGCAGGCGGTTCGTGAGGCACAGATCCAACCCCCGCCACCCGAGAGTGGTGGTAAATTAGGAAAGTGGCAATCTTGGTCTGCCAGCGGTCACGGAGCGGGGGCCTCGTTTGTGTGTTGACATGCATGCCAACGTGCGGCAAACGGTTTGTGCGCCTTTGCGGTTTTTTGCAGCTATTGATTCGGATGGTGATGCCGCAACCGTCCCACTTGCCATGGCGCCATTCACGCACCGGGCGTTACAAAAGCGCGTGTGGCGAGTCGAGTATCTTTTGACACCTCTTGATTAACTGACTTGCTGACTCTTGCATTGCTAGTTGATGATTGCGGTTATTTCCCTCGGGCTCTAGTAGAATTGCATTTATGATTAATTGTTTTTGAGCGCGCAAGTATTTGGAACGTTCTTGAAAGTTGAGGAAAAGGAGACGGCGGATGAGGAGTAGAGTATTTGTAGGCGGCGGATGGTGGTTTTGGTTTGGCCGGTGCTGTATCCGGATCCGATATCCCGACAGCGGTTACCGGTGTTCCGATACCTGCAACATTAATAAATAATCAATAGCTGACGGTGGCGTGTGGTGGTTATTGCGCCTATGATAAGGCTAGCCTGGCTACCCTGATCGATCCTGTGTGTCTGCGTGTGTATAGCTTGTGGTATACCACCTGATGGCGATAAGCTTCTGACCCTTAGAGCCAATTCATTTTCTCTTTCCGGAAGGGCGCGTAGCCGCAGTGATTTATCTTGTGCTCCGGCGTGCGATTTGGGTTCGGGGGATAGGTTCAGTGATAGTAGCTTTGGAGGGTTTGCACAATCCTTTATGTGGGCCGAGGTTTCCCTTCGCCGTGTGTTGTGTGATCTATTACAGCGCCGCTCGTCGGGACCTTTTTGTAGCCCGCGGGCCCGACCCGCCCGCATTCATGTGTGTGCTTTCATCATGTGGGTGTGGGTGTTTCAGTGCACGTATGCATCTAGGAGTGTGTCTTTTGTGCCAGTTTAGGATAATTACCTTAGTAAAAACGCGTTAGGTCGCCTTGACCACGTCGTTTAGCATCTGTACGGCGCCGTGCAAGTGCCGGACGGTCCCGTGCAAATAGCGATATGATACCTAGATTTTATGCTTTTGCGTCCTAGGATTCATTTTTATAGGACAAGACAAGACGCGTTCTGCGAAGGGCGTTCTGGGTTGTCTAACCTTAAAACGGTTGCCGGTTCTCGGGGGCCCTATCCGAATGAGGGCGTGCTTTAGGAGATGGCTGTGTAAGAGTCGTTCCTAGGGACACTGCACTCGACCGTTTGGGATCCACTTTAACAATCGCATTTTAAACCAAAGCGGCGTTGCACTGAGTGTTAGTTCTCACAACCTCCGTCAGGTACCTTCATGAATCCCTGCAATCTTATGAGAAAGCTCGACTTGCGCACATGAGCTGCATTCACCAGCTGTCTGGACTATAATCTTTCGGATGAGTTCAACAAGAGGAAATATTCCGAAGGCAGGCATGAAAAGCCAAGCTGTCTTGGGGCTTCCTGAAGACTGAAAGCTGATGGTTTGCGCAGGAGTATGAACGCAACTTGGGCGTCTTGGCTGGAGCTGTGATACCTATCTTGTCGTCCTATAAAGCCGGAAGGCGGCCATGTTCGGACGATCGGTTGCGACTTGCAAACGCCATCTGTCCATGGGTAACCGGCATATACGACGACGAAAACATCGCCGCGCTAGTCCCCAGCAAGTTGCTGACTCCCATCCTGCAGCTCTATGGGCTCCTGCTCAGGGATTTGGAAAACAAGGAATATGCGGAATTCAGCTCCACTGTTAGCCTGCTGGGCAAATTGCTGTTTGATTGCGTTCGTATTGGAGGCACCTGCCCGTCGCTGGCAGTCTCCTTGACCGCCGAGCAGCTGGCGATCAAGCTACTGCGTATGGGCACTCTGCGCTGCTATTGCCGGCTCGTATCTGCTTACTCGGATAAGATCATGCAGCAGGAGTACAGCGTCGACGTGGGCCACGCCGAAGCGCTCAACTCCATGGGCGAGCTGTTCAACACCTGCGCGATGCTTGCCGCTTTCGACACCACAGTGACCCCCACCAGACGCTGTTTCTGCGACTTGCTACGCTTGGAGCTGCGAGAGACACAGGCCATTGAGCACTTCACGCGAGGAGTTGTTCTCTTCATGGCCAAGTGTCCGCAGTCCACAATTGCTAATATTACACCCACACGGCAGGTTTTCTGGTGCATGAATTCCTGTGCCCAGCGCGTGGAGGATGGCACCAGCGCCATGCTAGAAGAAGAAGGAGATCTCCCGGAGAACATGACGCGCTTCCTAGAGCACACCCCAGCCAGCTACGAGCTCATGCAAGGTCCTGGCTTACAGTTCCTCGTGCTCGCGCAGGCCGTAAAGGCTTTGGCGGCAGCGGGCTACGGTGGTGGCAGGGGCGGCACGGCCTCAGGGGCATCAGGTGATGGCGCTGCTGGGCCGAGCAGCGGCAGTGCCGGGAGCAATTATGGCACATATGGGCTGTCTGCAGCGATAGCGGCGAACTTGCCAGTTATGGGTTTTGCGCCGCTGACGGTGTCGGTACAAGGACGTGATGATGGGTCGATAGGGGCCCCAGAGGACTTGTTACCGTTTATGCGTCCCGATAGCGGTACACAGCGGTATGGAGTACTGGAACTGCACGAAGAGGTCCTCATCGAGGCCCTGCAGGTGCTGGAGGCCGCTTTCGCGTTGGCAGGCTCTCGGCAGTCCTCACTGGTAGCGGCAACTGCTCCTGGTGCTGAGGGTGCTGGACCGGGTGGTGGTGGTGGTGGTGGTGCTGCTGCTTCTGCCACCGCGGGCGGAACCGCTAACCGTCTTCACTGGTCGTGTGTGGTGGGGCCGCGGGCCGCCTATCAGCTTTGCATGCGCATGGTTGAGCTAGCTGTGGCTTCGGCATCTGTTCGGGAGGAGAAGGAGGATGGCGGAGCGGCAGCCACGGGGCAGTCCCCGAGTGGGACAAGGTTGGTCCTTCAACGTGACGCTATCTGGCACGTGGGTGTGCGGGCGCTGGCTACCTCCAAGTCCCTACTTATGGGGCCCCTGGCAGGACCGGTGGCGAAGCCTGGCTCAGCCCATGCAGCAACGGAAGCGGAAGCAACGACAGGGCATGTGTCCGCCCTGACAGCGGAATGGTGGCAGGCAGTGGCGCGGGTGATGCAGATGAAGACACCCGCCACAGACCTGTGTTTGGGGGTGTCCGTTTCGACGCCCCTACACCAGATGTTGGAAACGGTGCTTTCGATACCGGTTGAGGGTGGCTCTTCAGGTGCGGAGGGAAGGGGTATAATTTTCGTCGGTTGCTAAGAGAGCAGCCGCTGGCTGGCTCTGGAAGTGTGCAGAGACAGGCTGTGATCCAAGCGTGTCATTATGGAGATGTTATTTGTTGTCCTTGCCTGGCTGCTGTTTACATATGTTTTCCCAGAGAGCTATGTAGGTATCAATACTGTGTGAACAAACAAAAACAATTTGGAGCTTGTGATGTGGAATGAAACTCGCTCATGAATTGGAAATGCGGTTTTGATGCGATTACCTTCACATTATTATACATTTCTGGAATCTCTCTCCTTTGGGGTTTGGGAGCAAGGAGCAAGAGTTGTAAGGGCATATGATGTGCACAGCGTTGCTTGTCCGCCTACCCGCCTGACTGGCTCGTTGACAGACTTGCTGCCCCACGTCCCGCCTTTCAACTGTGCAGGCGACCGGCCGCTCCAGCCACCGCCGGCGTTCTTCACTGCCCTGTCCGGCGGCATCTTGCCCGCGCTGGAGGCCTGCCTGCGCTACCACGCCTCGAGGGGACCTCAGGATGGAAACTGCGCGGTCTTTGTCCATACCTTCATGCAGGCTAGCCTGCGAGACTACCAGCAATTCCGCCTTACAGCGACTGCGGCAGGTCCAGGTCCCCCCGACAGCATGAACATGAACACCAGGATGCATCCAAGTCGCTTCTTTGAGGCCGTGCTCTCGTTCGGACCGCCGCATCAGGTGGCACCCCTCGTTGTTACCCTACGCAAGCTGCTAATTCGCCAGGTGTTGGAGGATGAGGAACAGATGGCGCGGTCCGGATCATCCCCAATCCGATTGGGGATGATCAAGGCATTGGCGGCCACATCTCTCACATCTTCATTTAAGGTGCGGCGGCTAGCGTACACCCTCACGCAATCCCTCCATGGCATGGAAGCTTGGAAGGTGCTCCAGGAGGAGGGTGAGAGTGGGTATGAGGACGGTGAAGGCCATCGTGGTGGTCACTCACGCGACGGGAGTCGTAATGCCAGTGGTGATGATGGCGATGGTGGCGAGAAGAAGGAAGCGAGTCCGGAGGACACCGTAGCGGCCGCAGCGCCCACCGTCATCACCGCCGCCGCCGCTGAAACTGCCAAGCAGCAGTCGGCAGCAGTCGGCCTCCAGAGGCCTGAGGTACAGCAATGGGTACGGATGGCGTCGTACACGGTGCACAGCTGGCTGCCCGCGCTAATGCACGGCCTGCTGAAGGCCTTCCAGGTCCTGAACGTCGATCGTGACTTTGTCTGCATTGCCAGCGAGCTATTGCGGTTGTTGCCTGGACTTCTATTCACGGATTGCCCGCTGGGGACTCGAGCCGACCACATGGTCTTCGATGAAGCCGGTTGCAGCTGCGGCAGTGGCAGCGCCACCATCGTCCTCAAGCCATCGGAGTTGTCCTCGCCGACAGGCTGGCGGGCGCTGCTGCTGAGGGGGACGGGTGCTTTCCGTCTGCTGGAGGAAGTGCTTGAGCAGTTGTGCTGCTCCGCCCGTCTGCGATGCTTCAGCACGAGTCTGCATGAGGAGAAGGAAGGCGAGGACGGCAAACATGACGAACATTATGGTGGCGGCGAAGGATGCGGACCTTTTTATTGGGAGGTTTGTGAATTGTCTCTTGATGCGCTGTTGACGGTGGCGCTGACAGTGCCTGATGACCTGCAGGCGCGGTTTCGGGAGGCAGAAGTGGCGGTGGAGTACATCAATGGCAAAGGTGGCGAGCTCGGCTGCAGATGTGAGGTGTGCGCCCACCGGAGGCCATCCTCCCAAAGCCACGGCACTGCCGCCACCGCCGCTAAACCGACGAAGACAGCGGGATTAAGTGGCTGCAGTTTTAGCAGGACCATCTGGGGTCCCCAGCGGCTGGGTAAAATTGTCACGCTCGCCGCAAAGTCCGGCAGAGGAGGTTTGGAGAAGTATGCAAAGGGGATAGTAGTCGCACTGTGCCAGCTGCGCCGGAACGACCGGCAACAGTTCATGAGGCAGATTACGACGCTGGCCAACATGCGGCGCTTTGCATTATGCTGCCCGAAACGTGCCTGGCTGCGGCCGCCGGCCGAGGTAATGACAATGTCAGCGGGCAAGGGGAAGGGGAAGGAAGTGGTTGGCGAGGCCGGCAAGGTGTTGTTGCCGCCCCGCTTTTGCAACAACCCGCAGTGCACCAACTTTGATGGGCCCAGCGAGGCGGAATTGGGGTTTAGTGCCTGCGGTGGCTGCCGTTCCGTGTCCTATTGCTGCCGCGCCTGCCAGCAGCAGCACTGGCGTGCAGGTCACAAGGAGGTGTGCACCCGCATGCGCGGGCAGGTATGAGACGGTGTGGTATGAGACTTGAGAGGCATGTGTGGACATGGTGGTATGCTTGGCGCAGGCGGGTTGCGTGGGGACGAGAGGGCTGGCGGGGTCGGAGGTTATTAGGGGCAGGTTGGGTGATCCTGGCAGGATATTGTATGTGGGCCCGATCGTGGGTTGGTTGTAAGCTTTGCAGTAGCAGGGCTTTCCTACCTCTCCGTAAGCTTGCATACTGTAGTAACAATATACCTCCAACAGCCCTAGGCAGCTGCAAGCTTAAATTTGGAACACAAAAGACTTCTTTTTTTTGACTGCTCGGTTCTTTTGTCGTGGAAGCTGTGTCCGCACAGACCTGCCAAACTGTGTCCTTGACATGTCCGAGCGCTTTTAAAAAGCTCGCACACAGGGTGGCAGTGTACACAGCCCCGGCCGCTCCGGATGTTTGTCTGTCTGTTTCTGTTACGTGTGCTGCTGTGCGTATCTGTTGCAAACGGCCCCTTGCTCAAGCCCATGAGCAATTGAGGTTTTTCAACCATGCATGGTGGTTGGGGCTAGGACTCTTTAGCTTGATTAGAGCTCTGTAGGGTTATATGCTTTAACCCTACCTGACATTAAGTTTGTAACATTAGGTCTGTAGGTAGAGGCTTAGATGTATGCACTTGGTGGCGTGTGTTGCTTGGTTACGATCGTTTAAGTAGAGGCCTCGTCTGGGGCATGGCCTGGCTGTGTGTTGTGTGTTCGCATGGGGTTGTGTTGGATGCAGTTTTATCTCACTTTTGTTTTGAAGAACTGTGTTTTGCAGTTGTAGAGTTTTAGGAGCCGAACTGTCTTTTTGGTCCACTCTGAGTGCCAACAGATGTGTATTGCCCCCCCCCTAGTCGACGGCACTAGGTTTTTAGTGCACATTTTTTCATACCGGTGTGGCAGCATGCCCATCGCAATGTGTCGGTGTGTTTGCGCCTTATGGAACCCACCACATGCGCATACACTACAATACAGTACCATCGCACGTGTGATGTCCCTCCTAACTCCATAGAGTTAGGAGGGAGCATGTTTTTTGAGCCGTTCGTACTTCTGCATAGATGACTTGTCCTTAGGAGTTGTTCGCTCATTTTGAACACAGGCTCAATTGTGACGAGGTGTCCATTCTGAGCGAATGTAGCATTAAATGATGTTGCATTATTGCTTTAAAGGCATGCCATGCAGGCAGTCAACTTGACAATGCTGTTGACGAAAGCAGTGGTTTCTCCACCGACCGGAATGTGGACGGAGAAAGAGGGTGACATGTTTCTGTAATACTAGCAGTTTTAAGAGTTCTGGAGTCTTCCGCTTGACTGAAAATACATCTTGCTTGGGAACATACCCCCTTTGCGCAGGGTAGCAGCCACTCACGCAAATGCAAAACATGTGCATCAGCAACTCATGATGGACATGATTTGTTACTGCATATGACTTTTTTATAACAGCGGAAACCTGCTGAAAGAAAATATCCACGTACTTAATCGCACGCCATATAGAGTTTACTAGGTAATACTACAATTTCCGCGCAAAAGCAGTGTGTGGGGAGGGTGGGGACTGTCCGTGGAGTCCCCCGCCCCATATATGCATTGACTAGCGAGCCCAGCCCACGACAGGAGGGTCAATTGTCACCATTTTTATTATCCCGGTGCCGGGCCAGGACGTTGTCGTCGTCCTCGCCCGCTCACTTACAGGCCCTCAGCGCGCCTACTAAGTGCGAAAAGTGCCTCTAGCCTGCGAAGAGATAAAAAGAACCCTATAGCCACACCTATAGCTAGCAGCGTAAAAACGATGAGGAGGAATACGTTACTGTACATAGACCAATTCTTAGAATACTACAAGGTTGCGCAGAGCCCTAGCGGCAACAACAGTACCAATACTTTCAACAGTAGCAATAAAAAAAACACCTTTCCACGCGGGGGCTGGCAGAGCCATGCTAGAGCCGGCCATCATACATTTTCCAGCGGCCTAGCCTAGCGGAGTCTTCATATCGTCAATCAACGATACGATACACGGTGCATCCCGAGCTGCTGCTGGAAATATGGTATAAATGAGGTGTAGCTGACTACTGCGGGTCTTGGGCCGCCCTAGGCGGGCGGGGGATTATACAGAGAGGATATACGGAGCAGAAGAACCTGGAGCAACATGAGCAACTAAACATGAGCGACACCATGACACCGTCTGCAGCGCCAGCCGCTCCTCTCTCACACTCCTCAGCACTAATACATATATACATACATACATACATCGACACACATACATGTGTGTATGCGTTTGTGTATGTGTGTATGTGTAATCTATTATGAGGTGTTGACGCCAACAGGCGTGAGCATATCATGTGCAGGAAGGAGGCGGCGGAGGAGGAGGAGGACGCAGACGAAGAGGGACGGGTTCCCGCATGTTGATGCTCTGTCTCATCTCGTCCCATCTCGTCCCATCATCCCTCAACCTTCACGTATCCCTCATGCTGTCCATTGTAATCCACACAGTGCCACATGCTGTAGAGCCCCTATTGCAGCTCCCCCTCCTCCTCCTCCTCCTCTTCATCCTCCTCCTCCTCCTCCTGATCACTCCTGATCCAGCCACTGCGCCAGCGCTCTCGCTGCTCCACTGCTCCGCAGCTCATAGCGCTCAGCCGCAGCGGCCTCCCGGACCGCCTTGGCCCTCAACCGGGCGTCCTGTGTGTGTGTGTGTGTGTGGGTGGGCCGCGTGGGGAATAGCCGTTAATTCCGGGGCGATACCAGATAGTCCGGGATAGTGCCAAAGAAAAGGGGGGGAAAGGGAAAGTCAGCTGGTCGGCGAGAACCAGAGTGAACACCAGAGGACCGTAAACAGCCGCCAGCAGCGGCGGCTGCCCTCCCAAGGTCCTTCCCTCCCCACCTAAACCCCCTAACCCACCTAACCCACCTAAAACCCCCTAAACCCCCTGAACTCTTTTAAGACTCCGATACTGCTACCCTGCTTCAATGACGACATGAAAACACGCAACCTCCTCCTCACCGGTTCGGCCAGTCAGCCTGACAGTCGCCCGAGTCAGCTAACCCACCTGCTCTTCGTAGGCCCGACGGAACTTCTCCGCGATGTGGACCTCCTCCTCCTCCTGGCGCTGCTGCTCCCCGCCAGCGCCGGGCCCCAGTCCCTCCCACGCCTCCCACGCCACGAGGGCCGCGAGGCAGTCGTCCAGCTGCAGCGGGGGCCCCCCGACCGCCCGGAGCTCCTCCTCCTCCTCCGCAGCCTCCCCTTTCTGCCGGTGGTGGTGGTGCTGGTGCTGATGATGGAGGTGCTGGTGAGGGTGACCCAGACGGTGCTGCGTGGTGGTGCTGGTGGTGTGCTGAAAATGGTGGTCTGGATATTGTTGTGACTGTTGTTGCGACTGGTGGTAATTTTGGCGATGTACGGCAGGCTGAAGGTGATGCGGGGGGGATCGCTCTGCGGCGACAGCTGCACCGGCGGCCGGCAAGCCCGTAGCAGCAGTAGCAGCGACAGCAGCAGTAGCAGATGCTTCTGCCGCCGCCGCCGCCTGAGGCAGCTGTTGTTGCTCTTGCCGCTCTGGCTGCTGCTGCTGCTGCTGTTGTTGTCGCTTGTGCGGGGCCGTGTACCGTCCAACTGAACCTGCTCCTGACTCTTTGCTAGGGGGAGGCTGCATCGTGGCAGCGGAGGCAGCGGTGGCGGCGGATGATGGTTCCGCCGCCCCTCGTCCCTGGGAAGGCCTTCGAACTCGAATAACCTGGATGCCAGAATTCTGAGATCCCGTACAGGGACCTATCGATCTGTGTACGACAATGTATCCAGATCTAGCAGATCCGGGTACGGCTATGGATCTGGAAGTAGAAGATTCAGCGGATCCGGGTACGGCTACATGTGCCGTATCTGGCCGGCGCCAAGCGCCAACGCTGCACGTGCGTTGGGAGGCCTTCGCATGCCCCGCCGCCAGCGACGGCGACGGCGACGCCGAGGACAGCGACGACAACCTCGGTCCGATGACGGAGGACCTCGTCTCTGAGCTACAGCCTCCGCTGCCACCTGAGCCATCCTGCTCGTGCGGCCATGGCAGGGACTCAGCGACGACGACGCGAGGGTTGACGGACCGTACGACATGCCGTACGAGCGACGGCGGATTAGGCCACACGAGCAGTTTGAGTCGCTGAAGACCGCATGGAACTCCCGGCCCTGGTAACGGAGCTCCGCCACCTGCATCATATATGTGATGGGATGCGATGTGTCGTGGCGTCATGTATGTATGTATGTATGTATGTATGTATGTATGTATGTATGTATGTATGTATGTATGTATGTATGTCGTTACAGGGTGGTATAGCTTCATCAGCGGCCCCCTTTCCCTTGGAGGCAGTTCCCTGCTCCCCCTTGCGAGAGGGGCACCCTGATCCGTTCACCCCATCCGACTTCAGAATGTATTCGTTGGGTTCAGCAACTCACCACCAGCATCCAACCAAATCTAGCGGATCAACGGCGCCTCAACTTAGTTCCTGGTCAGCTCGCAAGTACGTATGTATGTATGTATGTATGTATGTATGTATGTATGTATGTATGTATGTATGTATGTATGTATGTATGTATGTATGTATGTATGTATGTGACGCGGCGGGATGGAAGAGGGGGCCGTGTTAAGGAATAGAAGGCAAAGCGGACCCCTGGGACCCCCCGAAAGGGACCCCTCACTGCAGTCACTGCAAAGACATGTAGCAGCATTGTACTGCGTCCACGAAGCGCTCCGAAACCCTGTTAACTTAGGGTTTTATGTGTTTCTGCTTTAACTCCCTCAACTACTGCTTGACGTGCCACTTCCTTCCGCAATAAAAGCCCCCCCCGGAATAAGCCGCGCAAGAAGCGCCGCACCTGATGACACCGCCACATCCTCCCAACTGTCATGTACAGCGTCCTGCGCCTGCTCCCGTACTCGCACATGCGGCAGCAAATCCGGAAGTACCTGATTCGTACACGTTCGTACACCGCAAGACAACCACATTCCGTCATCCATAATGACATCCATCATTCGTTCATTGATGCGAAAGCGAAAGCAAAAATAGTTTACACATCAAAACGCGGCAACATTCATCATCCGGCCGCCTTTAAGTTCATTTTAAACTATATACAGACAAGATTAGATCAGTTGGCGAACTGATAACGGATAACAGATAAAACTAGCAATAAGTGCTGACTCCAAAAGACGCAGAGGTCGTTAATAATTCAGTGACCTACCTGCAACAGCGCTTCCTCTTGTGGCTTACAATCCCCCACCACCAGAACCTCCAAGGACGGGCAAAGGTCGGGCAGGTTTCGGAGCAGGGCCGGGGAGGGGCAGGAGAGGCCGCTCAGGCTCAGGGCGCGGAGGTGGCGGCAGCGGAGGAGAGCCTGGGCAGTGATGGGGGCAGTGATGGGGGAGGAGGGTGGGAAGCGTGATGAGCGAATGACGAATCGGATGGCGGTAGCGGTGCGGCTGTAGTGCTTCTGTGCACTACACACATGCACACACAAGCATTACACACACACGACACACACCTTCTGGGTCGGTCGCGTCGCTATTTTCCGCCGCTCTGCGGCGGTTATTCCCCCTTTCTCCCTCCGACCCACCCACCCCCGCCGAACCCCCTTTCCCTTGCTCCCCTCTGCCCCACACCTCCTCTCCACATGCAGCACCCAGCCCTATGACTACATGCCAGCCAAGCCTCATCCGCTCCCGACCTACGCCAGTCCACACAGACATATATACACACAGACAACACTCACTCCACCTCACCTGCCTCAACGCCCGCTCCGTTACCCTGTGGGCTCCCCCCAAATCCAACAGTGTCCAGAACTCGTCGGCCAGAGATAGCAGCACGCGGTTGCTTAGAACGCCCCGACGTCTAGCAGCAGCAGCAGCAGTAGGATCAATAGCCGCAACAACCAGCAGTAGCAGCAATAGCAGGCGGAGGAGTGGGTAAGGGGATATGGGATGTGTGTGTGTTAGGGAGATGGGGGATGGGGAGATGTAATTTTTAAGGTGTCTGGTGTTTTGCAACCCCACCTGGCTACGCATAGCAGGCACGCCTTGACGTCGGCGGGAAGGGCTGCTAGGTGGGGTCCGAGCTGCGCTACCAGCGAGTCAACGTGGCGACCTAGGAAGCCCAGAACTAGGGCGCGCAAAGTGGGAATCCTGCCCGTTTGCGGCAACGTAGCGCCGGCAGCTGAAGCCAGCACATCTGGAAGCAGTTTTGGAGCACAAGTTGCCAAAATAGCTTCCGTTTGCCGGCTGCTGGAAAGTCGCTGGGATTCTGTGGCATGATCGACGTGGCCTGCGCGGCAGACCCGGCGTCCGAAGGAAAGATAGTTATGTCAGGTGACGGGCCCGTAGTAGCCTATAGAGGAGGCAACGTATGACTTGCCCTGAGCAGGGACACTGTCATCGTCCCAGGCGTCTGCGCTTCGTCTAACCATCAGTGCGCACAGTAATTGCGTAAACTATGTTAGATTCACGACGAAGTGTATATCAGCTTGAATTTATGTTATGAGAGAACGAGGCATGGGCCGGATCGAGGACGAATAAATGATGCGTAAGTAAATTGTTTCATGTTTGGAGGAGAACATGCTAGGATTGACCGCTGTACCATAATATGTCAGTTTCATCCCCTTTTTTATCGTGTGCTGGGACCTGAAGCATGCTTCAACGCTGGAAACAATCAAGGCGATTGCCGTGCGTTTCGTCTAACGGACAACGAACAGCGAGCGTGCTGCGTGCTTTCAAAGAGCTGCTCCAGGAAGGCGCTACCGGTACTCAAGCGATCAGTACTCAAGCGGTGGACGTTAAACTAGTTGTGCTGGCGAAAGCTGTCCGCAAGGCGGACCGCACTAGCGCAAGAACACAAGGCACCAACGCGGTGAAGAGTGATTCTAATGCTCCCTGGTTGAAGGATGAGGTTGCCACAGCTTGAACAGCTATGCTCGCGCAGAAGGCTAAATGACCTGACGGAGGACCCCAAAGCGTGGAGCACTTTTCGTCGTTTAAACAGTCGGTACCAGCGGTTGTAGTTGAGGCACGAAGCTACAGAAGCGTACAAAATTTAGCGCTATGAAGCTATACCTTAAGAACAGAAACAATGCCGGGGCCACCATGCATCTGTCTTTCTCTGTCGGATACTCGCCAACAGCTTATGGTCGAGTTATTTCTCCGTTGCAAACATTCTAGTCCATGCGTAAGCCAACTGCGCCTGTGCGCTTACACACAGACTAGGGTAGCCAGCTTCTTCGACGCCGAAATGGGCTCGGTGCAGCCAGTCATCCCGCAGTAATCCCCAGGGAGGCTGTACGGCACTGGGCTGCAAGCGGACGAACGGTTTCACGTTTGGACTATACGTTCATTATATCGGGCCGGGTGCGGCGGCCGGCGGCGTTGGAGTGATGTATGAATCTGGTGTATACACACTTGCTGCTAAGGCGCCTCATGCAATTCCATGGACGTTGTATTGCGGGCCGCCTCCATCTCAACAAGAACGGCTGAGCATAGCCTCCTTATGGTGCGCGAACCCGGCCCATTAACAGTCCAACTTCAGAATAAGACATGTATGAGGTGTGCATGTGACGGAGCAGAAGGCAACCTATTTTCCGGCACAGATTCATGTGATGAATTAATTATTCGGTCATCAACGGAGAGTTTGTAGTAGCTTTTATACGCAATCCTCAGACATGAGGCTGACCGACTCACTGACTCACCGGCAGCAGTCCCCCTCCCGGAGTGCCTATGCCCCGGAGTGGAAATTGGCTAGCAAACTACGGTGAGGTCAGAGGAGCACCAATTGGGTTAATTATTGCTTCGTGATAGCTTGAATTTTGCGCAAAGCGGGCATAGCATGGTAGATGGAAACCGGACAGAGGTCAGCCACACGAACGCCCGCGCGGACACCTGGCCCAGACGAGACACCGCCCTGGAGCGATGCTAACTGCTTCCTTGCCAGCGCGCTGCTCGCAACGGCAAGCCCGTTGGAGGCGCATGCGTCGGCTTAACGTACGAAGCCGTTGACAAGATCCACAAACGCTGAAATTTTGCTTGCTGGGCAAGGCAAACATGGCCATATCTTTCTAATATTTAGCTGAGCACGATGGTGCCCTGGATTTTGCTCGTGGCCGAAGTTGGTGGCAATTGACAAGGTGGCCGCCCAAACCTCAGTAGTCCTTGCAATTAATCTGGGTAACACCCTTTAATATGTATAGGAAAAATTTATGCTGAAAAGGCCACCAGATTACTACAGACCAAGGTGTGCCCTGCCCCACGCAAACGCGACCTTTACCAAGGAGCCCTAGTCCTTCATCTTATGGCCAAGGAACTCAGTGATGTAAATGGAATGTGTTCGTTAACTTAAATGAAGAAGGTGGTGGATGGGGAGGATACAGGGGAGGAGGAGGCAGCGGAGAGAGAGGAGGAGGAGGGGGGTCTGTACCGCATTGCGGCAAAGCGTCAGACGCGCACAAAGCCCGGTCTTCGTGCCAGCTTCCGCGCATTGGTGTCTATGCCACGCGGCTTGGGAGCCACTGTTTTCAGGCACCTTTTAGTATCGGGCCATTTATCTCTGGTGTCCCTGTGGATGCGGAGTAATGTTTTTTGTGACCCGTGGTTCTGTCATCCTGGAAACTCCGCGTGCCCTGTGTGCTGTCATTCGCGCTATTTGCATATTATAAGGATGTTTCTCACCGGTCGTTGAACACCAGGGGCTGGTGGTTGCGCGACGGCTCGAACGACCCTTGCATCGTATGTGTAGTAGTTTGGTGACCTAAAGAACAATTATGCAGGTTGAGTGAAAGGACAATCGAGTAGCTTGAAGAATGGAGGAGTTTAGTAGTTGTTTGATAGATCGATGTATTACATCCCCGATCTTGGGAGTGTACGGTCACAAAATTGTAACTGCCGGACAGAGGTCACACAATTACATAATCCCCAATGAACGGGGCGACAGAGCCCACGAGCCTGCATGGCTTAAGCATAGTTCTTGCTTTAATCAGTTTAGCAAAGAGCTTCACGCGCGGGCACCTCCGACCTCGACCTAGGCACTCCGGGAGGGGGGCCCACAAAATTGCAAATCTGTCGTGGTTTGATAGCATGCTTGGCGGCAATCCAGAAATGTTAATTGTTAAAAACGACGAGATAATAACTCATAGAGAAAAGGCATTGTAAAAAATTAAAAGCCTTAAGAAATCGTCGGTATAAATACTGTTGCTGCTGAATCCAAAAGACACAATCTAAAACTTTTTTTAAACTTTTAACTACTTGCTAACCCCTGTCTCCTCTAATCGGACCTCCACCCCTGACTGCTCTCTCCTCCACCGCCGTCAGGCCTCCGAAGCCATTTAAACCGCCAAACACTTCACACTCTCACTCGAACCGCCCACAGGCTGCAGCATCCTCCGCAACGCGGCCACATGAGCGCCCCCAAACAGTACCCGTACGACAGGGTGCAGTACCATGTCACCCGGCGGCGGACCCGCTGCGGCAGCAGCGGCCTCGTCATCGTGGTCATCGTCGTCGTGGTCGCCGGGGGGGAAACCGGGACCTATCGGGATATGTGGGGGTGCGCCGGGCGCCGCTGCCAGCACGGCCGCGTGCCGCAAATCCAGCCACCGCCACTCGGTGTGTTCGGGATTGAGGGTGGGCTGGTAGGAGGCTCGGGTGGCGCCCGGGATGGAGGCCACGAAGACAGTGTAGTGCTTCTGGAGCGACTTGCCGCGCCTGCGTGCGTGCGCGTGCGTGTGATGTATAATAGCATTGGTGATGATGATGATGATGATGATGATGATAATGATCAACGTCAAAACGATAGTTTGCGACCGATGAAAGTGAAGTGTAAGAAGCACTAAAAGCCAGGATTTACATTTTCAAGGCCTTGCGTTTTTTCAAGGTGTTGCAAAAACCGGGGGGCAGTAGCACTGGATACAGTAGAGCCATATCACACAGGTTGCACCATGGGTATTGTACGGCAACAGCAAGGTCTGGTTAAAGTAAAGGACAAGGCAACGAGAGCAGACCACGTAAATGTATTTTTGACTCTTCTTGGCTGCAGGAAAAAAGCACACGCATGTGAGTTTTGAGCGACATGAAGGGCAGGATAGTGATGATGACGTAATGACGTACCTTGTCAATATGGATCCTAGAACATCCATTTCTGTGGGTATCTCCCCAAGCTCCTCTCTAGCTTCCCGCATGGCGGTCTTGAGCAACTGACCTCCATCCTCTGCGTCGGCATTTCCGCCAGGTAGTCCCCAGGTGCCCGGGTTGCCGCTGTTTTCGCTGCGGCGGAGCAACAGACAGGCGCCCTCACAGCTGCAAGGCAAGAGAACATATTCAGCTGCAAAGCATGAGAGCAGTTACGTACAGGAAAAACGTAAGGGGATGATGAGCAAAGGCATGGAATTCATTCCAGTTGTTGGAATTGAAGTGGTGTTTGGCATGTACCGATAACGGGCATCTTTATCGTTGCAAGTTGGTAAATTAAAGCCCAAAGGCTAAAAATTTGGTTTCGGTTGCTCACCATATGAGGAAACCAGCGCCCACTTTGGAAGGTGCGGCAATGCCGGAACCCAACGGCATCGGTTCGTGTGAAAGCCGGCTGAATCGTTGGTGATGACTCCAATCCGGCGCAAAATAAGGTGTAGAAGCTGCCACAACTAGACAGATTAACTAACGCTGAACCCGAATCACCTCTAGCTAACCGTTGCAACGAGGAAATGATGTACCAGTGTCCGCCACCGGCCCAACCTGCCTTACAGGTAGTCCACTTCCCTGTGCCAAACGATAAGCTGTGAATGGAGCAATACGCTGGAACACGGCTAGCCGACAGATGCCTGTCCGTCAGCAGCTAACAGGAAATTTTAGACACTTGCACATTTGTACAAAACTCCAAGTGCCAGCATAAGTTCTAAAAGTTGAAATATATATTCATGTGTCCATTTAAGAGCCTCCACGTCCGTCGCTGAGACAGTTTCGGAGCACGTAATCCAAACGCAATGATTAAAAAGCAATTTGTCACAAGAGGGCATCTAGCGCCTAGCGTGCCCAGCTAGGACGCACAGCTGTTTATGGCTACAGATTCGTGTATATTAAATTTGCATCAAGTTATGTCGATGCTACTGCAGCCTTGCTTCACTCGTCAGTGCCGCTGTTGGTCGTCCCCGTCCCCGGAACCGCTAGGAGCTTTTTGTCGCAATCGCCATTTCCAGGGCATCAGCCAGACACTCCTACAAACAAGTGCAAAACAGCAGGCCATGGAAAGGGTCAGTCAGGTTAGCCTTGACAGTAAGGTGAGAAATAGACGACCAGCATCGGTGGCAGCAACAACGGCAGCAACAACGAAAATAGCAGCAGCTAAGCCAATAAACTGCGACAGCAACGGCTAAGCCAACAAGTACTACAAAATGTACAAAAATACATATTCATCTCCGCGCCCATGTAAGCTCTGTGTCCGTCCCCTCCGGAAAGCCTTCTCCCACCTACTACCAGAGAGCAGCGACCTACCAACTGTGCGCCTTCGTTGCCGGCGCCGGCGTCGGCGCGAATGTCGCCTCGCCTTCGCGATCCGCATCATCCCCTCCTCCCCCCACGCTGCGTCCTTCGACGTCCCCATCGTCGCTACTGCTACTGCTACTGCTACTGCCGCTGCCATCCTTCACGACGTCGTCGACAGCGCTACTGCTGTTGCTGATGTTGCTGCTGCTGATGTTCAGAATCCCCCTCCCTGGAAGCGGTATCAGCAACGCGTCTGACTGAAAACCGGACGTACGAAGCCACGCCTGATAGCTGGGATCGTCGTCTGCAATGTCCTCAATCTCCACTTCTTTCGCCGCGGGGGAGGAACCCGTCGCTGCCACATCGCTCACCACCGCCTTAGCTGCCTTAGCTGCTGCGGTTGCGTTTTCCTGGATTTGCCGTAGCTCCCGATCTCTGATGGCATTGGCTTCTAGCAGTACATCCTGAACCCAAATCGCACAAGAAGCACACAGAAGAGACACGCATAAGCACAGTGCATGCACACATACGTACATACGTACATGAAAACTTATCCCACCACACCACATAGTCTTGGGGCTGCATTTTTACCGACAATAACAACAAAAACAACGTCGTCATCACAAATCATTTCGTCATTGCAGTTCGCATATCGTGCTGTACGATATGTGGCAAAAAGTAAATATTTTCCGTTCATTCTAAATCCCTTCCCGGCTTCTTCTCCGCCGTCTGTCGAATCGTCAAAAGCCACACAGAGCTCCCAACGGTCCCCGCAGAGCTCTGTTTTCAGTTATGACAGTTTTAAATTTTAAAGACTGTTTTAGGAGAAAGGATTTAGGGGCTGCTGTAAAAAGGGATACTGAATTGTAGCACACGCGCTGGCACGTGCTCGTACACAGCCGTACCCGCCGTACTTTTTCGCGCGTACTGCTGCACTCACCCAGTGCTCGACTCCGTCAGCGGGGGAGAAGACCCCAACCGAACTTTCGGATTGTCGCTGAGAGGCGGCGGCCGCCGCTGCCTGGTGCCGGTAGCCTGGAGATATGTGTGTGGGGGGGGGTGTGGGGGGGGAGGTTGATGAGGTATGGAGGATGAGGGGGGGGGTCTGGGAAACAAGAAGATGAGGAGGACGTGAGCTCGCAAACACCAGTACAGTACACGATGAGCACAGTACCTAGGGACTTAGGGCTTAGGGTGAGCGTGTATGTATGTGCGTGAGCGTGTATGTATGTGTGTGTTTGTGCGTGTGTGTGTGTGTGTGTGTGAGAGAGATCAACAGCAAGGCACGAGCGCATGACAAGGTGATAACTGTCTCTACAGCACTTACGTGTTGCTTCTGGCGACAGCAACCCCTCCCGAATCAAGTACTCCTCCAAGTAGAGCCTGGGAGAACGAGGGGATGAGGGGATGAGGGGGTAAGGGGGTGAGGGGATGAGGGGATGAGGGGATGAGGGGGTAAGGGGTGAGGGGATGAGGGGGTGAGGGGGTGATGGGATGATGGGATGAGGGGGTGAGGAATTAGATAATTTCCAGAATAATATATAGATGTCAGATGAATATGAGGACATAACCGCCTGGACCAGCTCCAATAACAACTATTTTTCACTCATCACTAACCTTTAAAACTTAATTAATCAAAATTGTATTTCTAGTCGTTTGGTAAAAATATAATAATTGCTGTTAGGAAGGTAATACATAATAAAATACTGGGATAATGAGGGGATGAGGGGGATATATTTGACGGACAGACTGATGCGGCGAGGAAAGCGGCCACAAAGGAGGGGATGTATAGCGTGGCAGCAGCATTGCGCACAATACGGCACGAAGAGTCAGCAGCCGTACAAAGAAACATTTCAGATGGCCCTTGAAGGGCCCTTGAAGCACATAAACGCATCATCATCACGGTATCATCACAGTGCAAGTCCAACCGTAACCGACAACAAACTGCAACCGACGCAAACCGCAAGTCTGCACCCCATTTATATTCGCATACATACATACATACATTGTTCATGTACGTCTACCTTAATCCACCGTACATCTCCCGTACACACGTACACGGTACGAATGCACGTACGAATACTGACCGGGGCTGCAGGGCGGTGTTGGTGATGTGCAGCACGGCCCCCAGCGCGCCCCACGTCACTACACCCAGCAGGCGGTACTGCGGCCCTATACGCGTGGCGGTTCGTTGGGTGGTTGTTGGGTGGTTAGTTGGTTGGGGCTCGGGAGTTGTCTAGGATATATAATTAAATGTGTTGTAGTTGGGTTTGGGAGGTGGCAGCTGGCACAATCCAGACTGGGACAGACCCCGAGGAGAGACGAGACCACTCACACATACACATGTAAATGAGCCTGCTGGGGAAAGTTAAGGTGAGGTGAGTTTGTTTAACAACAAAAAATAGCATATAAGTATTATTATATCTTGTAGAGTAAAAATAGAAAATATTTTCCAGTTATTATTCGAATGGCTTTACCACCACCATAACAACGGCAATTACCATAAAATAAAAAAACAGTATATGAAAATCCGTGTATAACGCATCCGTCCAGACAAAACACGTATTCGAACATAATGGGTTCGGTGCTTCCCAAGCTCGGTGTCCAGTGGTACAGTACCCATTTTGAGAGGGCCCTGCCGTACACGCGCATGACGAACCTGGCTCTACTCTGCCAGGGTCACGCCAGGGTTTTTATGAGGGTTACAGCCTCTTGTGTGCTCACGCGGCCAAACACACCAAAGAAAACTCACAATCTTACGTTCAAACCAAATGTAGTAGAATCCACGCAAGCACACGCGCGAGACTTCCTAACAGACCTGCCAAACCTGCCACTCCTGCCCTCACCTTGATAGTGACCGACCACAAGCGCGCCCGTTACCGCACCTGCATGGTAGACATACATACATACACACACATACACAGACACACACACGCCAGAGCTCGCTCAGCGAGTATCACGACTGGGTCAACGCCCATGCTGCCATCCTGCCATGTTATGCTCTGTTCTAGGGTTCACACAGAACTCAGTCCGCGTCCTCGGGGCGCATGTGTCCCACCTAGCGATGCCGCATCAGAGTCAATGCATGTGCACGGGACGGGGAAATCCCACCTAATGCCGATGATGCATGCATCGGTACCCACCGCTGAAAGCGCTGTTCAGGAAGTCATGTCGGCCGCGCACTGCACGGCAGGTCTCCTGAATGCCTGGATTACATCCAACCCGGATGGAGTGGCGGGGTGTAAAGGACGTATGGAAAGGAGCGCTTAGGACACATGGGGTTGGGGTTGTCAACAGCGGAGTATCGGGACAGCGTTGCTTACCGCTGAAAATCACCGCTGCACTGCCGTAGCCCAATAGATTGTCAACAAAACCGCGAAGCCTTGACCTGCCTCTGAGCGGATTATTACGCAAAGAAAGGAGCGCAGCCATACAACCTGCATCATCAGTGTGGCAAGCGCAAGTGGCTTATAACAATGTAGGAACGCTCAGATAAAATAGTATGATAGTTTTACCAGCAAAGGCCAGCTTTTGTTGTGTCCTTTGTTGCCATCCGTCCACAAGCCAGTCGGTCGCCATCATCAACGCGATTTATGAGACCCCAGATTACAGTAGGCGATATGTTTTCATCTAACAAATGTGAATGCTTTAGTTGGAGCACCGAGCACACGAAAACCAAACAGTATTTGACGACAGTCGCAATTCTACTTCAACAGGCTATCCTTGCTACTCTAACCATATAAGTCGAACTGGAGACGAAGCCACTTCTGAGAGGAAAAGGGATGTTTCGACATCTTGTTTTCCCCAATCTGTGAAACAGATCGGATGCAGGAATGAGTAATATTGGTACGACTCCTAACCGCAACGATGCACAAGCCTCAAGGTCAGGGCCTTCTCAAGATCTAGTACGCTATGAGAAGCGAGACATGCCACATTCGCTGCTTGCCTATCACCTGTCTGCCTGAAGACACGGGCCTAGACTGCAAACACGGCGTTGGGAATCTGTAGATGGGTATAGGTATATATTGTCCCATCTCCAGCACCTGCGGCGAGGTGACGTGATCATCCACGAGCCGTGAGGCAGTCACACACCTAATCGGACTTCATTTCATTTGGGAGACAAGCACGACCAAAGACGATCTCGGTAACCCTCGAAAGATGCGTTCCGACAAGAGACCGCTTTGGTACTGCCCTGCAAAGTCCACCACCACATCAGCAGTGTTCCCAATGCATGTTACAACCTCCAATCAACCACCGTGAGCCAGCATGCCGCAATAAAATCCCCGCCTGACTAGCTAACCACCAAGAAGTGAGCCGCACGGAGGTCTACTGAGGCCGACTACGCCTCCTTAGCCCTCTTAAACCTTGCATTCAGACGCTAATAAGCGTAAGCAGCTACGTCGCTGCAGCCCGCTTTTATTGCTGCGCCGCAAACGACCACGCACTGGCTCCTTCCTGATGAGACCTTCCTGCCCGGTTCCAACTGACTTTCCATGATAGATGCTTAACGTGAGCGCGACCAGTTCGACACCTCTCGTCCTGCTTGAGTATATCTAGTTGCGATGAGGGACGCGGCTCTACGCAAGGGTTAAGTTGTCCAGTCCACACGGGACCTGTGATGGCATGTACTGTTGTGAACGGGCAAAGAGTACTGCAGGATGACGTGTCGAACGGCCAGGCATGAGCATGGGTGCGATGCCGGTAAAGCACGTCTCCCCCTCAATACAAATTTCCTTCATTGTAGAACTGTGGCATACCCCTTTTTTGGGGTACCGGATAGAGAGCGGGGAAATCGGCGAAATGGATCCGTCGAGCTCCCACAAACAGCCATCGACCAGCAGCTAGTCGCCAGAGGCTTGCAGCGGCATACATAACCGCCAATTCTTGCACGCAGCAGCTCAGCAGGCGCAGGTCTGGTCGCTTCACTGGACTTGGTGTGGACAAGGCACTTCCACTTATGCATGGTTAGGCGCTTTCCATTACATTTATTTCACCGAAACTCAGTTACCCCCTTTGGACGCTAGTCTAGGCTGATGTGCGGTGTTTCCTTTTCTCCGTGGCTTTAAGGCGTTGTAGTATTTTGCCCTTGGGCCTTCGGCTCGTATGGGTAGTCTTACAGGTATGGGGTCACGCACCCCCCAACCATGTAACACACACACATTCATTTGTACTCCCATCTCGCAATCCATGCGAAATCGTAGGCCCAAACTGCGCTGTGCATGCTGCGCACTTCTAGTACCCGCTCATCGGATAGCGGCCAAGCCTCTTCAGTGTTTCGGCAAATCGTCGTTATCAGAATTATGAAGAGCTTGATGGCACCACCAATGCGGTATTATACTTCATTGCACAACAAAGGGATGAGACCTTACGCAGGCAATATACCTCACGTTTTTCTCGTTGTGATGTCTTGACAACAAATGTCGAAAACTTCCACAAACTTCCGCAACGCGCGCATTTCACCTGCATGACACATGAACGTCATAACATGATTCCCTTTTTTCTTCCAGCCCACGCCTGAACATCAAGAGCAAGGGGCAAGAGGATGCAACGATTCCTCCAAATGTTCATCCGCATGATCAAAAGGACAAACAACCACAACTCGCACAAACATTTCAGGGAATGGACCGTAAGAGCCGCACCTACGCTAGCTAACATTCTAATGTTTAGCTCATGTTCAGCTCATCACACCGTCCATTCATGAATGCGGTGTTGATAGCAGGAGGTTCCAGTTAGCGGGCCCCCTGTTGTAGCATCGCCGCTAACTCACATCATCCATTCCGTCGCCGTCAACCATGTTCTATATCTCTGTCTCTCTATGTATATGTAATATATAGTGCATCAGCTGACGGTCCCGTGCCGCGCATCCAGCAAAATGCCCCTTTCCACACATATCGCTTAAAAGCCCTGCTCTCGATTGAAATGCGCCACCGGACAGACTGCACAGACTCCTTGCACCGGAACACTCCTGCGTTCCGCTTCCGCCCCTCTGCATAAGAGACACACACGCAGACGTACATACACGCATACACACACACACGCGCGCGCCGATCTCCTTTACCTTTCCTACCCGATGGCCCCCTCGTTCAATCATGCGTTGCATCCATGTCAATGGTGAGGCCCTCAGCATATCTGGTGGAAAACCCTCAGCCTTCGGCCCTCTGCAGAACATCCACCTCCACTGTGTTCACAGTGCGCCAAAAACCCACAACGCGCAGTACACGACTTAAGGACTTTTTAAAACACCTTGTTGGTTATGACACTGCCCAGCCAATGCCTTTACTCCTTTCCGTCAAAGCAAGCCCTGCTCGCGTCGTGCGTCACACACACACACACGCACACACACGCACACGTAAAGGCAACCACAGCCCATTGCCCCTCCCGATATGCAACAGCCGCACAGCCCCCAACCATCTCTTGTCCTCACATACGCGCAATGAGGGGATTCGAACCCAAGCCCCATGACTATGGAAGTTATGTATTATAGAGATTCACAGAACATCCATCTCCACGCATGTCTTGTCCATCGCAATCCGCAGAATCGGCAGCAACCGGGAGGTCACGTCCTCCCACAACGTGCCATGCGGCAGCCCGATGCGAAGACGCCACAAGCCCCGCAGCGCTGTCAGCGCCACAAACGAATGTACGGACAATAACGCGTCGTACACCCGCTCCGTATGACGTCGCCCAGCTGCAGAACCGCTGCTACCGGCTCCTCCCCCCCCGCCATCGCCGCCGCCGCCTCTCTTGGCGCCTTGGCTCGCTGCACCAGGCATGGACGGCCCCGCACCGCCAGCGGCACCGGCGGCCGCAGCCAAGCCGCTGCTCTCATAGCTATCATCATCCGCATCTGTATCCGCATCGTCCTCATCGTTCTCCTCTTCCTCATCCTCCTCATCCTCATCTAAGAACAATGTCGGCGTATCAAACGACAGGGTGAGGTCCGTCAACTGTGTCAGGCCCGAGAGCACAACCATGACTGACGCCAAATCGCTTCTGCTATCTTTGCTGGTCGACAACGCTACTACCTCACCACTGGCGCCTGGCACTTCGTCACCTCCAGGCCCATCACTCCTGGCAGCCGCACCGCTGCCGCCCGGGTTCTGCGGCCCCGCCGCACCGGCTCCTGCTTGATCCAGCAGGGTTTCGTCTCCTGATGCCGTCGCCGTCCCTGAGTTCAATCCAGCTGCTACCCCTCCTCCGCCGCCGCTGCTCAGATGCACAAGAGACTCCTCTTCGGTGCTCAAGTACTCGTCACTGTCATCGTCGCTGTCCATGATGCGATGGGCCGTAGCCGAGCCGGAGGCTCTGCTCTGCGGTTTTCGTGCCGCTGGACCGCCTGATCCAGAGGCCCCCGCCGCGTATGAGAGTGTGATAGTCCGCAATGATGAAGATCCAGCGGCACGAGACGCCGCCGTTGCCGCCGGCGGCGGTTCGAGTGAGGCAGCGTCAATCTGCAGCGACCGCAGGCAGCGTAGGCCTAGCAGCGAAGACATCTGCGGAAAAGGGAGAGGGGAGGGGAAGACGGACAACGAGCGAGGGAGGGGAGGGGGCGGGGCGGCGTGCGAGAATCGTTATATTGAAATCGGGCCGCTGCTGCTGCTGCTGCGAGGACAGCAAGAGGTGTATTTTGCACATCAAAGCGTTGCCCGAGCACTGCCGGGGTCTCTCGCTTCTCGTGTTAAGCCCAACTACATAAATACCGTGACACCATGTCGCCCCCCCTTTCCTAAAACCTCCCATCCTGAACCCCCTAACCCCCCCCTTTCCTTTAATGGTGTGCACCCGTCAATCCATTCACATACAATCCAAATCCATACAAGTTTAATAAAGCGAATACGACTGACTGAGTTCTGCCACACACACCGGCACACACACACCGGTACACGGCACACCGGTACACGGCACACCGGTACACGGCACACCGGTACACGGCACACCGGTACACGGCACACCGGTACACGGACCTGCTTTGCCGACCACCATCCAGGCGCCACGGTATAGCTGCAGTCCATAATAAGGCCCCGCAGACAGGGAAAGCAGGGCAGCAGGTCCGACAGGCGCGTGGTGGTAGTGGTGCCCCCCAGTCGCAGGTCCTCCAGCCGGGTCGCCCGGCGAAACACCAACAAGTCCGGCGCCACGCAATCAAACAGCCACAGGTGCGTCAACGTGGACAAGTCCGGCAGCAGCGCCAGGGCCGCTGGAGAACTCGATGGCGCTGCTGCGCCCGCCGGTAGGTGTGGAGGCGGCGACGGCGAGGCGGGGATGGTGACTTTCTTGAGAGTCAACTGCAGCAGCTTGGGGGGCAGCACTGGTGGCGGTGCGGATAACGGGCAGGGCACCTCGGCTGTGAAGCGGAGGTAGAGGGGCCGGAGCTCCAGGTGCTCCAGGTGGGACAGTGCCCGAAGGCCCTAAAGTAGGGCCGGGAGTAGGGGAGGGATTTACATCATAGACATACTTAGCATGTGCATATATACACACACTTCTCTTTAGATATCCATCCTATCATGGGGCAAGAAGCAAAAGGTCAACTGCCGCAATCCACAGCACCCACTGCTGGAGGGGCGAAGAGGAAAGGACTCGCTCAAAAGAAACTCAGAAGGAAATCAGTCGGCGGTTGACAAGGGATATATAAGTTTGGAAGACAAGGAGGACAACGGGGGAAAAGACGAAAACCACGTGAACGAGTGAAGCTGCTGCCAAGGGGAAAGAGTGTACACGAAGCAGAACTGAGGCCAGGAGGAGACTGAGGCCAGGGGTGAAAGCAGGATCGCAAGTAGTGGAAAAGCCAGCGAGGAAGGAGCCAACGGGAGCGCTGCCCACCCACCTCGATAGCCGTGGGGTCATTGGCCGCCGCCGGCAGAGTATCGTACAGCGCCAGGTACTCGAGGGAGGGCATACCAGCCGGGATGTGGGCCAGCCAGCCGCGGGACATCCACGCAGCGGGCCTGCAGAGGCCCCGTTCCATCAAACCAGCAAATACACAAATACACACACACATGCACGCGGGTGAGGGTCACGATTTAAAGCACTGCGCCATCCTCCTACCTCCTGCTCCCATCCAATGACTGTCATCAATCCCTCGAGGGATTATCCCACATTCTCTATTCCGCAACACACACACACACACAGACAGACACACATACACGCAAACAAAACGTACACACCCAACTCCTATAACGGTCCATACCTGCAGTCTTGGTCTACATAGCCTGTAATAGCCAGCGACTTCAGCTGCGTGTAGCCGCCACCACGGAGATCCAGCAACACCGGCGCCACCTTCGTGTCCGCAGGAGGCTGCGGCGGCTGTATCACCTCCTCGCCGTTGGGCCCAAGCTCCTGGGCCACCATGGCCAGCTGCGTCACCATGGGCACCAACGCCAGGTTCAGATAGCACATGTGGGGGCTCAAGGGACCCAGCTGCAGCTGCAAGACCCTGGCCGCCAGCGGTGCCGCTGCGCCGCGATCCGCTCCGCCAGCTCCTCCCGGGTGGTGGTGGTGGTGCTGTTGCTGCTGATTCGCGTTTTGGTGTTGTTGCTGCTGCTGGGTGCCATCGGCTACAGCAGCGCCGTTGTTATTGTTGTTGTTGTTGTTTCCGGCAGCTCCACCGCCGCCGCCGAGATGCAGCTGCGCCATGTGGTTGAGCAGAAGCGCAATCGCAGGTGGGAGCTGCCCTGGCAGTCCACCACCACCACCACCACCGCCGCCGCCGGCCGCTGCAGCCGCCAGTGCCGGAGCGAGCCCCATAGGCAACCCCATCTGCGGCTGGTGCTGATCGTTGTTGTTGTTATTATTCCCGTTGTGCTGCTGCTGCTGCATAGCATTCAGGGCTGCATGAAGGTGCGCCAGCACCTGGAGGGGCGCCGGGCCGCCCTGCATCTGCTGCTGGATGTTGTTCACGGCGGCTGCCGCGGCGGCCGCAAGGCCTTCCTCCTCATCCTCCAGAATGTCCACCCGCACCCCTAGGTGGAGGTCCTCCGGCTCAGCTAAGGAACCCTGGGACGAGAGGACGTGGGCGGTGTCGATGTTGGGAATCCACCACAAGCGTCCGCGCGGGGAATGTGAAAATGTGGACCGTACCGGGACAATCCATACAAGGGCAGGTGCGCGCGACTCAAATATTTTTTTACATATAATACAAAGTTGGAACGGTGATTTTATGTGCGCCCGGTAACTCTTATCATCGCTGCATAGTCATTTGCCGGCCAGATGCCATTCGTACTATATTCGTACTGCAGGCGACATGTTTCCGTAGCTGGTAACAAGCTACTAGGCTAGACACATAAGCTAGCTTTTTCACGCTAATCACCAAGGTCGGTAAGTTCCCATCTGGGACGCGACTGTAAATCCCAGCCCAGTTAGGTTCCGAACATACAGCAGCTTCGCAAATTACTGCCATAAACGGCGAGAGACATGGGCCGAAACATACTAATAACCAGAACTGCGGCAATCAATCGCTGTGTGCGCCAGTTTCCCTCAGGACTCATACTTAGGGTTGGAACTGCTGCGTGCTGTGTGCTGTGTCAACCATGGCCATGCATATTTTGTGCATCAAGGCATAACAAACTATTTCATAAAAGAGGATCACCACGCCGCGCCACGCCGCGCCACGTCACGCTTACCGAGAGCCCCAGCTCCTGCTGCAGCAGCCGCTGGTACTCGGCAAGAACCATTGGCGTCACGTCGTACGGCGGCACGTCCTCCTCGTCAGCAGCACCGCCGTCGCCATCGCCATTATCGTCGCTGTCGCAATCGCTATCGGGTAGTGCAACTCGACGGACTCGACGGCCAGGTGCTGCTGCTGCTGCTGTCGCCACGCCACGCCGCCGCCGCCAGACCGACTTTCGCTGCTGCCGTGACCCTGGCAAAGAGATAGTTGGCAGCGCCGCCGCTGACACGGTGATAGTGACGTTAATATCCATACGCGTGACGCGCGTTCCCTTTTCCACGATCAGCACATGCAAGCCGGGTTTCGGAGCCAGATGGTCCACCGAATCCCAGGGATCGTCCAAATCCTCGTACTCGCCGTACCGCGCCTCCGCATCATCATCGCCATCATCACCGACGCCGATGTGAGCTCCAGGAGCGGCATGTCCGACCCCGCCTGCGTGTCCGCCTTCGCCACGGCCGAGCCGCCGCGCAAAGGTCAGGGCGAAATTGGTCAATCGCTGCGGCAGCGGCAACGCCATCAAGTCTGGAAGTTGCTTGGAATCTTTAGGGGGCGCACAGCACCGAAGGCGAAGGTCCGTCAGCAGTGGGCACACGTCCAGCAACTGGCAAAGACGTGCGACCTGAGAGGAGGAGAACCGTAGAAGTGCGAACACAGTAGCGTCATTCAGGCGGTTGTTAATTCCAGAAAAACGCATCTCGGACGCCGCCTAGAAACAACAAACAGGTTATATCCCTTCTTCTTGTTGACGCATGGAGATGAATACAAATTTTGTAGTTTTATAACAGTGCGCTGGCGATGCGCGTCTCATCAGTCACGTCCCATGGCTACGTCAGCTACAATGGATGCCGGAACCCGCAGCCCGGTTGCCTCAGATGGCCGGCGGTCACTCACCATCCGCCAGCGTGCTTCAGCAACCGCAAACCACTCACGAACGACACCAAAATTTTACGAGGCATCGCACGCTTAAACCCTAAAACCCTCGCGCACACACAAAAGAGACATACATACGCACGCATGCGTACCTCCGGAATGCGCCACAACGCAGAGGTGTGCCCGAAAGCGAGTGTGCGCAGTTGGGTCAGGAAGCCGGTCGCCAGGCCAGCGAGCTTGTCCAGGCCAAGCGGCGGCGGCACGGCGGTGCACAGTTCCAAAAACGTCAGACTGCGTAGGGAGCTCAGCGCGTTGACGTCGTCCTCAGAGAGGTTGTGCGGCGCGCTGGTAAAGGCCGGATTGCGGGAGATGACCAGCGACGTCAGCTGTGTCAGCGGTTGCAGATTGCTGAGGCCGCCGAGAGACAGCTGTGGGTCGCCAGCCTCCCGCACCGGCAAGTGCACTTTCAACTGCAGGAAGTGTCTGTTCCGGGACAGGGCAGCGATATGGCGCTCGAAGCCCCGCTGTGCCTTCTCCGCGGGTTGCGTCACCTCGAGCGTCACGGCGCCGTGCAAGTTGGCAGCGAAACTGAGGGAACGCGAGAGCGTAATGATGACGCTGTTAGCGAGATGACGAGATTGCGCGTGTACCGTTATCCCGTTGGGAACGCAGTGCTAACCCACGCCTCGCGCAGTGTGTCGGACGAGAAGTATAGCGTTCAGGTACTGACTTTGTTATACTGTTAACCTTTGGATCAGCGCTATGTAAACCATAGCATGACGACTGCGAGCTGACACGGTACAAATAAGCTTTTCGCGCAGACATTCGTGCGCCGCCATATAAACCAGCCGGGAGAGCCCTTGCCTTGTCACATACGTAGGTAAATAGTAAAACATACATCATGTAAAACCCACAGACCTAGCTCACCGAGAACGCGTTCCGTCCACAGGTTCGCTAGTGCATAGCGTGGAGTTCAGGCAACTGAGACCGAAAGCCTCCCGCCAAGCTCGGCAAACAGAGTAACATGATACTGCAGTAGCTGCATCGACGTGCTCGCTCAGCGTCTTGAGGACTGAAAGGTTCAACAGCGCGTCTCCGGCGGCAAACCCCGGCCCCTGCGTTCTCGACACAAGCAGGGGTGGTGGCTGCCTGTGTCCACTGCCATGGCCTCCGCAGCAGGGCATCCGTAATTGTCTACGCTGCTAGCAGGTCCGCAGATGCTCTCTTCCCTCGTAATAGTTCAAAGCGCTAGGTTTGTTGGTTGTGCGCAAATTGTGTTGTAGTGTAAACAGAGAATAACTGCGTAATATCGTTTCTAAATGTCCTGCTTTGGTGCAAGTCTGACTGTCGTATATTTTCCATGACGGCTTCTAGCCATACCTGTAACCTTCGCAAATCTGGTTATTTTACCTTAATCAACACCATAGCTCTGCGTTACGTCTTATTTTGATGAGAAATGCAGCTACAAGCATTTAACCAATCGCGTTGCAAGCCAGCCGGCTTGGTGCGCGGCAGCCGCCACGCTTTCATCCCAATTCGTTGCAGTGCCGCATCTTCTTATAGCTGCAATGCAGCTTCTAGCTCTTCTGCTGGCCGCCTTCCCTTGACACGCCCAGCCCGGCCGTCCATGGGGGCGCCAAGGCCCCTGCGTCGGAGCACTCCTATCTGCCAGTCCGTTGCCAACGGGAAGCTTATCTCAAGCACTGAAGTGCCAGCATTCATTCCACGTGATGACATGATGGATCAATTGTTCCGGTGGAGCATGATGGAGGCTGGCGAGAGTGGCCAGCGCAACTTTGGCATGCCCATGACAATTGCGCCAGTCTACTATGAGGAGCGGCTATGGGGCTTCAATGTGTCGATCTTCAAGGAAGGCGTCAAGCTGACGGACCTGGGCGTCATGTTCGATAAGAACGCTGTCACCAAGCATGAGTGGGTTGGCCGCGGCGAGGACGGTTTCCCGGTTATGGAGGGCAAGTCCGATGAAGTCAAGGGGAAGAACTTTGAGATCTGGTAAGTAGCGTAATGGGAGCTGGTGCAGAACTGGTAGGATGGTCGCGGTTTGCGCACGTCCGGTTGGATATCCATTTGGGTTTCGAAGCGGAACAAAGCTGCCTCCTGACTTACTACACAGCACTGATGGCCGCACAGAGCCCAAGAGCTCCTCCTTTTGCGACTCGATTAGCAGGGTGCCTGAATGATCTAGGAAAGCTTCTAAAGCCGCTGCGCGAAGCCCTCGAAGCTGTCCCGGAGATTTCCCCCTAAAGGAACCTCGCGAGCGCATGATGATGTTGAATCCTCCCCCAGCTACCCCGGAAAGTCCGTACGGGACTGGCGCCTGCAAGGTTGGTCAGCGCTGGTTCCTTCTGTGGCATATGGACTCGCATCCCGACCTATAAGCGATCCACTCAGACCCGCTGTGATCCCACACTGTGTATACCCCTACTGCACGGAATTAACGGTCAACGGTCAACCCGCCGGGTGCGGTACAGGTATCCACACGCCTGTCATTGCTCTTGCCCACACAGCCCATTGTTTCACTCTCATGTGATCACAACAGCGCCCTTTCACAGCGATGAGGATTGTATCGCAACAGGACGTATGTATGTATGTATGTATCGCAACAGGAAACTGGACAGCGACCCCGTCACCGAGGACCTCCGCGCAACCATCCGCGCGTACTGCACGGCGCTGGTCGCAGCCTTGAACCGCTACTACGCCTTCGGCTCGGTCTTTGTGGATGACGCGCAGTAACCTTTTTTTGTTGGAGGTTAGGGAAAAGTTGGTTGGGCAGTACTCGGGGTTTCTAAGGCACAGCAGCTCATGAGAACCTTGTGAGCCCGTCATGCCATCAGGAGGGTTTCTGCGGTTGTTTCTGACGACGGTGGACATTGCGAGGGAACATTGCAGCAGAAACTGCAGCAATCAGGACAGGTCTACTGTTCTGCGTCGTGATCGTGTGTGGGGTGCGGACGGACGGCGTGCTCAGCACCAAGTAAACCTCCCGCCCCGCCCAGGAAGGAGGAATCGAGTCGGTTACGAGCGCAGCAGCGCTTCAAAACCTCTCTGCGAGACGGCCATGTGTTTTATCGTTTTACCTTGGCCACGTTATCCGGCCCTGCTGATTCGTAATTTGGTGAAGTCAGGACAAGGCTTTCGGCTTGATGCAGTTGCTAGGAATTGCTGCAACTACTGACCCGTCCGGAAGGACTGTTGGGGCGGGCTTTTTCCATTCCTTGGCTGCTTGGGGACAAGTATGAGTTGTGGCACGCACACAGACTTTTACGTTGGCGCGGCTATGCCCCGGGCCGGACGGACCTGGGGGTGTGTGAATGCGTAAGGGGCTTATTGACGCGCGGGCGGAGGCACACGTGCGGCGTCTGAACGACAACGTTGTTCGTTTGGAAGGCAGCCGCCCATCCGCGCTGCGCATCTTCTTTGGTTATCTAGGCAAGCACAGTCTCATCTGGGCCTTCTGATGATTCTCGTGGGCGTTTGTTATGCCCATTATTTGAACACGAAATTAGTGTTGGAAGGGCGTCTTCGTTCAGATGAGTGTCAGCAGGCGATGGGTGTCAGCACACGCCTGTCCAGCGCTCCAGCGTTTGTTTCTCGTCCGCAAAAGCTGTGAGAGCTTGTCATGAGGGAAGTTACCTCGTTACTCGAACCATGCGGTCTCGAATGTTGTGTGTGCTACGAATTATTAGTTACAAGTTATAAGTTCCGCACAAGTGCGGGGTTGATCGTAAAAGCCGGGGGCCCATGGACGGTAATGAAATCGGGCTGATGGAATAGGTGTGTAGGAAAGGTGCTGTGGGGGTTTCTAGTAGACCTGGCGATATGTTGTTGAACTCTTCCTAGGGTTGCGGGCTGGGAAAACGGGTTTGGGAGACGAAGCAATCCATGACAAAATCACGTCATTTTGGAATGGTATGCGATGTTACAGCTTTTGCTGTTGAGGTACTCCTGGCAATGGTTCTTCCAGCTGATGGATGTTTCTTCACGGCCCGAGCGCTAAGGCATATAGGTGTGCGTCAACGACCCTGCTTCTCGGACGATGTCGTACTTCCCGGGAACTCTTTGTCGTTTCTTCTTCAGGTATACGGGTCGTACACTCCGTTTCCTGTGCTGCTTGCTGCCCGGAATGCGGGCGGAATCAGAAGGCGGAACGAATATTGTCTCAAGGATTTATATCGTGTATTAGTACACCAGTCAAAGCAGGGGAGAATGTCAAATTACCCTACCAGAGTTCCCCGCGTACAAGTATGTATGATGTGTGAAACAGGGGGGTGTATCTTCGCCCGTGGCAGCTACCCTGCGAAACCCTGCCTTCCCCGGTATTTCGGGGCACCCTCATACAGGCATCCTAGTCAACTTTTCAGTGGATCTCTCATGATCCGCACCCACCACCAGCATCCAACGGAATTTGCCGGTTCGACAGCGGCCCAACTCCATTCCTGGTCGGCTCGCAGGTTAACTTTAGGATAATCCCAGATCACCACCGTCCATCAACTAGGGACGCAATGCTTCCCACCATCGGAAGGACTTTTGACCCTAACGGGTATCGATCCCGGGATCTCCCGGGGGCAGTGGTCGCGCCTTACCAGTAATGCCAAACCCTATGCATATGTAGGTATGTACGCCCATCTAAGAAGCTTCCCAGGATAGCAAGTTCCTCACGAAAATGCGGGGGACGTCCGTGGCGCCTGGACGATCAATTGTCATGTGATCTTGCGATGCAGAGCGACGACGACCTTTCCATCCGTTAATTCACTTTTGGCCCTTAGCTTTTCCAGGAAGATGGCGCCTTGCTGGCCACCAAGGGCCGCACCCCACCTGATGACCCCGATAGGTCCTTTTTTTGCACAAGGGTATCAGGACGTGCGGAGTGATGAGAACCGCGTATCAGCCAGTGTAAGATTTCCAGGTCGCTGGTAGAACGCTGGTTGGAACGCAGCACGCAAGCCAAGTCCCTAACCCCTGAACGTGTCATCCGGGAGAAACACGCTTGCTGTCGTTGCACACACACACACACACACACACACACGCGTTTAAACACACACACAATCGGTGAAGTGGTGCATGTGGCCTCTCCAGCACTTCCGTCTGAAGGATAAGTCCGGTATACCACACACAAACGCGCCACCTACCCTCGCTTTCTATTTCGACGACACCTAGCCATGCTGCGTCTTTAACGTCCATGGGCCCCCCGGCTTTTACGGACACACCTGCACTTGTGTGCGGAACTTGTAACTTGTAACTTGTACTACCATTCGCGTCTGCGGTCTCAGCTCAGCTGTACGGTTCACGACGTTCCGTACGCACTCACATGTGTTGTACATGTGCGTCCTGTAGTATGTCTGTTCTAACCCAAAGCACATCTATGTACGATCTGCAATCTTAGCTACCTTACCTGATCCTTCCCTCACGGCGCGTGTGCCAAACCACGCACCGATCACGACCTTCACATGACCGGCCGACCGACCGACCAGGGCCTCTTTCATTGAAGTCGCTGCCACGCAGCCATCTTTGCACTGGTACACCCTATCCCACTAATCAACCAGCCGGCCGAGCCGCCACCCGCGATGTCGCCACGTGTGTGCAGGTGACCACCTTCGCACTCCGCTCGGCACTCCCACTGCACCTGGGGCACCTTGGGGGGGGATCGATACTTCCCAGTGTCCCACGGGACACACTCTCCAGGTCATCCTTCGGCCTCCCTCCTCTTCCGCCTCTTCCTCCTCCTTTCCCTCCTCTTCCTCCTCCTCCTCCTCTCCCTCCTCCTCCTCCTCCTTTCCCTCCTCTTCCTCCTCCTCCTCCTTTCCCTCCTCTTCCTCCTCCTCCTCCTCTCCCTCCTCTTCCTCCTCCTCCTCCTTTCCCTCCTCTTTCTCTTCCTCTCCCTCCAATGACTACCACTTGACCTCACGACCAGAAGGAGCTGCACAGCGATCAGCGATTCAGGATACTTTACGTAATTTCTGTCCCTGCCAAGTATGTGCGTATGTATGTGTATGTGTATGTATGTTGTTACAGGGTGGTTAACTTCGCCAGCGGCCCCCTTTCCCGGGGCAGTCCCTGCTCTCCCCTGCTAGAGGGGCACCCTAATCCGTCACCCCATCCGACTTCAGAATGTATTCGTTGGGTTCGGCAACTCACCACCAGCATCCAACCAAATCTAGCGGATCAACGGCGCATCAACTTAGTTCCTGGTCAGCTCGCAAGTTGATATTATCACGTCCTACACCGTCCATATGATGGGGGGCCACCTCCCATTTCATCACTCCTCAAACACCCGAGGAGCTGGCAGGCGGATTTGAACCCGGGTCGACTGGATCGACTGGGAGCAGAAGTCAGGCCTTAACTTCTGCCAGCCGCCTGACAGTATGTGTATGCATGCGTGTGTGTTACATCTCCCTCCTTCTCGAGTTGCGTTGCCTTGCAATGCAAAAATATAAATCATTACGGGGCTCCACACATAAACCAGGAGCCAGGAGGGATGGAGCCCTCAGGCGCCCAACGGCTAGAGTACGTATTCAGTCGGAAGGCGGCCATCGCTGCTGCGCTGCGATTCCGTTGGTACACATCGCACTCGCTTGGCAGCTGGACCAGAGTCAGACACAGCCATTGCAGTCGCACCCCTACCAGTGCCTGCAACAGGGGGATCCAGATCATCTGGCCACACCGCAACCTGCCCATGCTGCTCGTGTTCCCAAGCGGCATCGGCCTCCGCCGCGACATCTACCTCACGTGAGCGCTTGCGGCACACCGCACCCTGCGACGGGAAGGCTTGGGCGGAAGCGGCAGCAGCATTGGCCTCGCCGCCGCCATCCCGCCGGCTGTTGATGATGATGATGGTGCCTCCTGCCGCTTGCTGTGGGGCGGACGCGGCTGCGGCGGCGGTGTCCGTGGCGACCCGCGGCCTCCCGAGCTCCTCCTCCTCCTGCAGGTGCTGTTGCTGTGAAAGCTGGTGCCGGTGGTGGTGGGCGTGCTCCCGCGAAAGACCACTCTCGAGTTGCGGCTCTACGACCTGTGCGGCCCACGTGGCCTGGGAGGACGGAATGGTCGGAAGACCGGAAGCACGGAGGGTCGGGACGGAGAAGGGACCGCAGCATGAAGGGCCTCACGACGAAGGGGTATTAAGGGCCTCACGACGAAGGGGTATTAAGGGACCCGATACGTCGAGGACCACAACATAACAAGATGCCGCCAGCGAGGGAGGGAGGACGGCGGGGGGGAGGAGGAGGAGGAGGAGGAAGCGTTCAGGCGCAGCGTTTTGCGTAAACGGCCTTGTCCTCTGTTGTGTACAGCATAAAAGGAGCAAAAAGGAAGTGATGAATGAAGCAGACCTCATTCGATGTTGTGTTATTCATCTGCAGCACCGCAGCCGCGCCGTGTTACATTGCAAAGAAACCATCCAAAAGCCGAAGAGGCTCTGTATCGCACTGCACACATCCTTAGACGTTCATCCTATAAGCGGGGGAAAAAAATAAAACTTCAAATTTCCACGCTATCACAGAACTGGGCCCAGAGGTGTTTCAATCACGCACAAATGCATCTTGAAAGCGTTGTTGTGTGTCCACTTTTTAAGCTTTTACCCCCGACACAAAACCATTTCCCGCGCACCGACTCGCCAATGCTCACCAGCAAGTCATCGGGCTCTATCGATGGGCTCCGATTCATCATGTCGTACAGACCCGTACCGTCGTACACGTCCTCCTCGCCAAAGCTGGCGCTGCACATTCCGAGCTGCGCCTCCGTCGCCGCTGCGCCAGCCGCCGAAGCAGCGAAACTTCCGGCGGGCATGAATCCGCTCCAAGCTCCGCCACGGCCGCCATCCATGTGCAGTCGGTGGTCCCCGCCGCTTCCAATGACACCCGAGCGCTCCATCGCCGCGGACGCCGCCGCCGCCGCCGCTGCTGCATCACCGCAACTCTCCTCCTTGCTCCCCGTCGAGTTGAGGAGGCTGTCCGAGAGTCCGAGGCTAGGCAAGCTGAACCGCAAACTGAAATGCTCTGGCAAACTGGGGCTAGCGAAGTCCCAAAAACGAGGATTGCCATCGCCGCCACCACCACCACCACTTGCAGGTTCCCCCGCCGCCGCCGCCGCCGCCGCCGCCCCCGCTGTCCGCAACAGCTCCTCATTGCCAATCATCACGTCAGAGGCTCCGTTGAACCGTACACCCTTTGCCAGTCCCATGCCGCCGTCCCCAGAGATTGAAGCTTCCAAGAATCCGAAGCAGTCCGCCTTTCCGAACGGTCCAAGGTCACCTGGGACTGCGGCCATCGCAGGCACTACCCGGGCACTACCCCCCGCCGGGGCCTCATCCTGCAGCGGACCGCAGCCGGGGGATGGCGGCTGACGGACGCCACCGACCGCTGCCCCAGCGGCCGCCGCGCCGACGCCCTGCGATGGTAGCAGCACCGAGCTCGATTGCGGCGGCGGCGGTGGCGGCATCAGCCCGGCGACAGCCTGGCTGCAGTCGTGTCGGAGAGTAGAACGGTCGCGCAGCGGCTGCAGGGCTTTGTAGTCATCGGTGCTGCTCCTGCTGATGATGATGATGCGGTTGGAGACCTCTGTCGCCACATGTCGTGTGGCGTGTGGCGGCGGCAATGCCGACGTAAGAGCTGTCAGTGAGCACGGCGTCCGCGCCATTCGACGCTGCTGCTGCGGGTGGTTCGGGAGCTCGCAGCGTTTTCCCAATGACGGCTGCTGCCGCTGCTGCTGCTGCTGCTGCTGCTGCTGCTTCTCAAGCCGTAGCTGCTGCTGTTTGTCGTGCAGCTGCTGCAGCAAGCGTTGTCGCAGCTCCTGTTGCTGTTGCTGTTGCTGCAGCTGCAGCTGATGACGGCTGGGGCTACTAGCTGTTGTGGGAACATTAGCCGCCACAGCCGCACACGCCGATGCGGTTCCAGAAGCACCGCCAGACGCGACCGCGCCAAGGAAACCTCCTCCTCCTCCTCCGCCTCCTCCCCTTCCTGCTTCCCCGCCATTGAAGCCGCTGCCTCTCGTTATGCACGGGTACGGCGAGCCGGGGAATGCCAGACTGTGCAGAGCCCCCGGGACCCCTGGCCTCGGTGTTGCACGGAATCCATCCGGTGGCATGCCCAGATAGCCTCCACTGCACGTTGCGAGGGCGGTCATGTAATTGTGGTGGTGATAGTAGTGGTGGTTGAGACAGGGCGGCGTGGGTTCCGGGAGCCTCCAAGCTGCGATTGCCGAAGCGGTGACATGGTCGCCACCCTGCAGCTGGTGGTGAGAGGGCTGCGTTGATCCGCAAGCCGGCAGAGGTGCAGGTTGCGGAGGTGGAGGTAGCGGAGCGGGAGGAGCTTGGGAGTGCGGCGGCGACATCACGCCGGCTCGCGGCCAGGGTTCCTGGACGCCGTGGAATTGGATCCAGCACCCGCCTGTCTGTGGTGGCGGTTGTGCTGCTGGTAGTGATGATGATGGTGGTGCTGCTGCTGCTGCTACTGGTGGTGGCGCTGGTGTTGCCATAACCGATATTCCTGCGTTATGGGTTCAGGAGGGCATTCCATATTTTGCCCGCCAACCTCAATCTCGCCATTTCTGCCATGAACCACTTACCAGGCAATACGAACGTGCCGGCTGAAAACCGGCAGCTCCCTACATCCCAGCCAGCATGTCCGTTCACACACCCACTGCCATCGCCACCGCCACAGCTGCCGCCAGTGGTGGCGGCGTAGTTATGTAGAGGTGTCACGCCAGGGCCTGGGACAGCGGCGTACAAAGGAGGCCGGAGTCTGCTTGCTGCTGCTGCGGGGGGAGACGTGTGGGGGGAGTGAATGGAAAAAGCGGGGCCCTGATACTGCTGCTGTTGGGCCTGATGTTGGTGATGCTGTTGGGTTTGCTGCGGCTGATATGGCGCGGGCACAAGAGCATGGGAACGTTGTGCGGAAGATAGCTGTGCACTTTCGCTGGCTGCTTCTGATGTCCGCGCCGCCGCCACCGCCGCCGCCGCTGGCATCGCCATCACCATTGATGCCGCTGCCGCTGCCGTTGCCGCTGCCGACCCAGTTCTCGACGCCATCACCCCGCAAGTTGACGGTCCATTCCCCGGCGTTCCCTCCCTCGTTAGCGTTACGGCGGCGGCAAGCGCTAGATGCTCCTGTTGCTGTTGCTGCTGTTGCTGTTGCTGTTGCTGCTGTTGCTGCTGTTGCTGCTGTTGCTGTGGCTGTTGCTGTTGCTGCTGTTGCTGTTGCTGTTGCTGTTGCTGCTGTGATTTTGGCGGCCTTGAGTCAAGCTGGTGATCCGCCGGTTGTGACGGCGTCAAGGTTGCATGTCGGGACGCCGCCAGCGCAACCACTGCCAACACCGTCGCCGCTGCCGCCGCCTGCGCCGCTGGCGCCAAACGCTGCTGCATTACTTGCTGTCCCGCGTGACCCTGCTCCGCCTCCCCACCCACGTCCACGCCCAACCCCACCTCCGCCCCCGCCGCAGACTCCGCCTCCGCCTGCTCACGAACCTCCTCACGAACCTCCTGAAGCATCACTCCGCCGTTGGGCAGGCGCGCAAGGCCTACGACTCCACCGACAGGCACCCCCATCACGTCCATAGCCTGGCCTAGACCGTCAAGCACCCATCCGCCATTCCTGCGCTGCCGCAGCTGCGCCTCCCAAGGCCGCAACGGGCTCCTAGATCCCGGAGCCATGGGTGCGAGAACCGTCACAGGTTGCGGCTTTTTCTTCACCTCCACGCCCGCCGCCTCCGCCGCCTCCGCCGTGGTAGCCGTCGTTCCCGTCGCCTCCGCCATCGCCGACGCCGCGGTGAGGATATTGGGAAAGCATGTGCGCAAAATCTTGGTGGATATCTTCAATATGTGATCTTTGCGCTGCAGTGTGAACACTCGTGACCCTCCGCCGTGTGAGGGCGGCTTCGTCGGGGGAGTGGCATTGCAACGCTGAGGTCCCGGCTCTTGTGGCGGCGGCAGTGGATGCGATGGCGCCTGAGGCACATGCGATGTCCTCAGCGGCGGCAGCGGCGGCGGCGGCGGCGGTGAAGGAGCAGAAGAACACATCTGCGGATGTCCCTGCGTCGTTGGCGGTGTCGGCGACGGCGGCTGCAGGAGCTCTTCCGCAGGCAGCGGCGGTCGCGATTGCACGGGGGCCTCAGAGGTTGAGGGGAGCTTCTGTTTGCCTCCGTTCCCGGCTTGCAGTTGCTGAAGGAAAGGCGACTGGATCTGGGTCTGGATCTGCTGGGGCTGGGGCTGGGTCTGAATCTGCTCGGGCTGGGACTGGATCTGGATCTGCTGGGGCTGGATCTGGGTCTGGATCTGCTGGGGCTGGATCTGGGTCTGGATCTGCTGGGGCTGGATCTGGGTCTGCTGGATCTGGATCTGCTGGGGCTGGGGCTGGGGCGAGGGAGGTGCCCGTTTCTCCGTCGGCGGGAGCTGCATCTGGGGGTTATGGAGGTTATGGAGGCCGCCTCCGCCTGCGGCAAGCGCTTTCTTGGCGGCTTTTGCTTTAGAGAGGACGCACCGAGGCTGCCGCAAGCCTGCCCAGTCTTTGCGCTCTGGAAGGAAGGAGGAGAAGGAGCGCTAGCGCCTGAACAATCGAATCGGCCCTCCTCTCGTCATTGCCACTAGAAATTGCGAATAGCGCTGTTGACTATGTCCTCGGATCCCGTAAAAGTCCTTTTAGCGGCCTCTCTACAACTTCGTGGAGGTGCTGCTTGCTGCAATTGCAAAGTTGTCAAATCGAGGCCGGGGAAGATGCCACAAGATCATCTGCGGAAGATCGGACTTCGGCATGAAGAAGGAGAAAACATCCACGACTGGTCCACAAAGCGACTGCTGGTCCACGAAGTGCTGAAGCAGGAGGAGCAGAAGGAGACCTAGAAGCAGCAGCAGCAGCAGTAACAGGGGTTGGCAGTCGCGGGCAGTTTTTTTCGCAGATTAAACAGCGCAAGGCTGGAAGAGCCGCAAGTTCCGCACTACGCTGCAGCTGTATGATTTGGTCAACGCTATCGCGGCCACCTGCTAAAGTCTCATACAGTCCATCATTTTTTTGGCAACCCTTAGCTCTCGTCCTTCCCCGTCGCCCTCGAGAACTTCGACGGCCACAACGCCCCGCGTAAAAAAAAACATCGCAACTGCAACCCCACACTGCCGCGCTGCAAAACAAAATTTTGCCTCGCATAACTTGTCTGTGCAAGCTCTTCTGGGGAACTGTAAGAGGCGCCTGTGCTTGCATGAAGCGCGAGAAGTGCGTGCTATCGTTGACTTTAATTGCCATACCTACACGCGTTGAAATAGGCCAAACCTGATCCTTGGAGGTAGAGAAATAAGTTAAGCCAATCAAGGAGCCCGCATGGTGGACAGCACTGCTGCTGAATGCCGTCAAAGGGGCCGACACCTGAGACAGACCCCCGCGGTTACAAAGGGAAGGGCATACCGCAAATCGTCTTACTCCTGTTACTTGGTCAGCGCCAGGCAAAGGCAGATCAGATCCGATCCGGAAAACTCTTAATACCTCCAAAGCAGCTCAATCTCTTCCCAAAGCCGACAGGGCTTGGAAATTTCCAAAAGTTATTGTCACCCTGACATCGAATAGCGTTTCTATTATAATTATGTCGATTATTATCACATCTATGCAGCTGCTCACGCCAAAAGGTGGTGACACCCCGTTGGAGGATACTCATGCAGAATGTGACCACTGCCGGGAAATCCTCCAAATCTCTTGCATGGCGGACCCGTGGGTCTTTATCAAAGCAAGCATAAAAACACGACTGGTCAAAGCGATTTCTAGATCCTATTTGGCGTACTATTTTTACATAAGGCTATTCATTAGCAATCGTACCCGAAGTATGCTCAGCGCGCGTATTTCAATTTCTCAGCCGAAGCGATTCATGCAATGGCCGCGTAATATTTTTTTGAGAAGTCCGTATTTTTTTGGCTGTGGACCAGCTAACAAAATTTAGCTAGGTGCGGCTAAGGTTGGATAGCTGCCGGATCCGCCTTTCCGCTCTGTCCGCCATGCGCCATTCACAGAGCTGGCATTGTTTGTACGCGTACAGCGGAGGGACGGGTGTAGACCGCTATAGACCTCTCCGCACACAAGACAGCCACAAATCAGTATATACTAATCCGGCAGCTGAAAACAATGAGCACAGAAACTTGTATTGGGCAGCTACTTGCGCACTGCATCCCCACGGCTTGCAAGTGCTGGGTGCTAAATGATGTTTTGTGCAGGCTTTGGCAGATCGGCGTCACCTTTCCAAAAATTCCCCAAAACAATGACCTATGAACTAGCTACCAGCATAACAACGACACAACCGCCAAAGATGTTTCAAAATCAGGCCGTCTTGTTCTTCCGACGGATATGGTCCCTGACTTTGCGCGGCTCCAAGCATGGCTCCCAACTACTTAATTGGGTTCAAAATTTTGAACCCATACAAGACTTCGGATCATCGCAAATGCCTGCTATCTTAATCCGTGCAAAATAAAACCTACCTATAATAAACTTTACGGACTGCGTTATGCACATAACAGAGCCCCCGATGCGCGGCTAAGCGATCCCCGTTGCTTGGCCATACAGCACATCTCAGGCTGATCTTTGTCAATGCGATGACCCCGGGAAGCATGGAAAGAATGCCGGTCCCATCTCCTGTTGTGGGACGTTCATACTAAAACAGTCACTATACAAGAGACTCGCCTGGCAACAACTATGACAACACAATCCATCCAGGCCAGGTTACGTCGAAATCTCGAGTTATGGGGTCTGCTCGCCTGCTGCGCATATCCCATCGATGTCTTTTTTTATTTTGTAACTATCTACATCACCAACGAATAAAAAAATGCGCAAAGAGCCTTAAAAACGCACAGGGTCATCACACACGCCGCGATACGGCGCTGGTCCTCCCAGCATACGACGCTGGTCTCTACATTTGCAAGCAGGCTCACAAAGACCTCCCCCGACATCCCATCTCCTCATCCTCCTCGTCCTCCTCCTCCTCGTTCCCCGCAATTTGCCGTTACATCCTTCGCCCTTCTTCTTCCTCCTCTCTTCTCCCCAGCAGGCGCTCCTTTTGACGCCGCTTCGACCTCCTCTTCTTTGCCGTCCCCTGCCCTGAAACAGGAGGAGGCAAAAAAAACACATTTGTTATAAACTCCAAGTCCATTTACACATCACAGCATAGGACAGCCATCCCCTCCTCTCGCGTCTCTCCTCTCCGCCACCCCCTCTCCGTCCCCAGCCAACATCATGGCCCAACCCATTACTCAAGCGTTCTTAAAAATGTTGGTCACACATTGGTTCACAGCTCCAACGTCAGATGGTTGGCCAGATGGTGGAGCTCCGGCTGCTGATGCACCCAGTGCGCGAAGCTGATGCTCCTGTGGGCTCCGTGCTCCAGATAGCACCTGGGGGGGGGGGGAGGATGGGGGGAGGAAGATGGGGGGAGGGGGAGGAAGATGGGGGGAGGGGGGGAGGAAGATGGGGGGAGGGGGAGGAAGATGGGGGGAGGGGGGGAGGAAGATGGGGGGAGGGGGAGGAAGATGGGGGGAGGGGGGGAGGAAGATGGGGGGAGGGGGAGGAAGATGGGGGGAGGGGGGGAGGAAGATGGGGGGAGGGGGAGGAAGATGGGGGGAGGGGGAGGAAGATGGGGGGAGGGGGGGAGGAAGATGGGGGGAGGGGGGGAGGAAGATGGGGGGAGGGGGAGGAACATGGGGGGAGAGGCGGAAGAACATGGGGGGAGGGGGAGGAGATGGGGGGAGGGGGAGAAGAACCACACCAGGGTCGCAGTGGCGAGGTGTTCCGCAGTGAAGACGTGTTATGCCGTGTCATGCACATGACGTGAAGGTCGCGGGAGACAAACATGCAGGCGGTCGGTTCCACACGGTGGTGAAAAAAAGCCACGAACACCACACACACACACACACACACACACACACACACACACAGGGTACTTTACTGACCGTCCAAGGAGCCTTTACGCAAAAAAAAACACTTTCGCACACACACAGTAAGAGAGCAACCATCCATAGATTTGGTAATTAAAAAATGCTTCCGTATAATGCTCCCAACCGGCTCAAACCGCTCTCGTCCTTTTATCTGCCAACCCCCACACAATTTCCCCCCTCTTTTTCTGTGTCCCTAAATCCCCCCTCCCCACCATGTTCCTTGTCCCTTGAGGGCTATAATCCTTAGTCATATTTCCATATTGTTTCATATTTTATTTATATCTATTAAAAATATAAATATATTATTATATTTATATTTTTTTCGTTCCGCTCCTTTACTTTGATACTCCCCATGTACACACTTACCTGTACGTGATAAGCAGGAAGTATCGCTTCAGGTAGTGCAGTCCCAGCTGGCGGGCAGCGAACTGCGGGCCCAGGGGGGCAGCCACTGCCACCGCTGCGGAGCCGGTGCCGCCGGCGGGCGCGACTGGTGCCGCTGCCGGTGCCTCGGCCTGGGCCTTACAATTGTGAATATCCAGCAGGAGGTCACCCACCTGCATGCAGCAGAAATCGAACCGGGGACCCGACAATTTCTGTGAAAACTGGGAACGAGGATGGGGCCACCAAACCATGAAGGACAAGACATTTTTTTAGGTTTTAGGGTTTTAGGGTTTTATTAAATTATTAAATTAGGGTTTAACCCACATCCGCAGTTTAACTCACATCCGGCACCCGGACATGAATCCCTGGAATGCTCCTTTTGGCCTTCGGATTCATATACCTTCCCAAAAGAAAAGCCCTCACTTAAAGCTTAACGCTTCCCGTTGATCTTGAACCCCCACACCCAAGCCACCCTTCCCCCCTTGCACCCTTCCCCCCCTGCACGAGGAGGAAAAAAGAAAGAACCACGGCACCACTTACGTGCTGGCCCACCGCAGCTATCGCCGCATCCACCGCCAACTTTGCTTCGAAACCGCCTTGCATCAACCGACACAGCGACATGATCCCCCTATACTCGCCAGCTGCCCCGTCCAGCGACATCATGGACAGCCCGGACGACACTCCTCCCCCCGCCAGCCGCGTCGCAAGAGAAGACGGCGGCGACGAGGCCCCCCCCGCTGCGCCGCTTTCCAGCTGCTGCCGCTGCATCTTCTGGAGCTGCTGTTCCCAGGAGAGGTAGGTTCCTAGGAGGGCCGCGACGAAGCGCGCGGACGAGCCTGTAGGTGTGCGGGAGAGGATGAGGTGCAGCACGCGCGGGGGCTGGGCGTCGACGGAGGCGGGCTCTAGCGCGGCGGCGGTGACGTCGGTGAGCTGCGAGTGGAGCGCGTTGACGTCGGCGGCCTCTGGGGTGCGTTCTCTGGAGAGGGGGATGCGGCGATAGCTGATGCGGAAGCCTCGCTCCTCTAACTGCTGCATCATCTGGCCATCATCGAGAAAAAGCGAAGAGAAGTCGGGAAGTCGGGAAGTCGGGAGACAAAGCACAAACGCGCTAGTCAGCTGTGTGACAGGGAGTACAGGTACGTAGTAGTATGACGAGAAAGCGGAAATGGGTTAAGATAAGCAAATACATGTATATATATACAATGTATGTATATATGTATATAATACATATATTATATTATGTTATTATTGTATTATCATTATAGATTATTATTATCATTATTCCATTGTATGTATGTATATAAATACGTATATTATATATACTATGTATGTACTCTGCAGAATAGGCTTCCCCTCCCCCCCCTGGATTTCAAACTCTCCGGGGTCTTTCAAAAAGTCCTCTCTCAGCAACCCCCGTTCCTCACCTCCAGCGGTGTTAGCAAGGACGAAGCGGAATCCGTATCCACGTGCTCCCAAAAAGGCGCCACGCTGGAGCCAGGATACAGATCCACGAGGTGCGTTACGTCGTCGGGTTTGCCGCCGCCAACGGTGGTGGCTCCGCCGCTGCCGCCAGCTTCGCCGTCAGTGGCAGCGGCGGCTCCGCCGCCAGATTCGCTCGGCGTCACGGGCGCCGGCGGCGGCGAGGTCGCCGTCGCCGCAGTTGCGGCAACCGAACAAGGGGAAGAGGCTTCCGTTGCGTGGCCGTTGGCGGTTGTGGTGGCGGGGCTGGGAGGCGCTGGGGAGCTACGGCAGGAAGAGCCTGCGCGCGCATGTGTGTGTGTGCGTGTGTATGTATGTGTGGGGATAAAAGGGTTATCGTAAAAATGATGATACAACAGAACTTGAAGGAGTTAACGCATGACAACGGACCGGGGATGGTGGGGTTGATGGTGGGTTTGGTTTGGGGGTGAGGTAGGGGTAGGGTTAGGGGCAGGGGTAGGGGTAGGGGTAGAGGTAGGGGTTGGGATTTATGAGCGGGAGGCAGCCAGCCCGTGTTATGTGGGCCACGTGGCGCTTAGCGATACAGACATACAACTCGCTCCCTATCCCCATAAACCGCCGTCGTCCCAACTAGCCAATGCGAAGCTCCGTACGGCAGTACGACAGTCGTACCCTGTACGGAAGACGTACCGTTGTCCGCTCCTGGCGTGCCGTGGTGTTGGTGGTGATGGTGGCGGGAGGCCGTGGCGGGGTTTGCGGGCGCCAGTTCCCGGTGCAGCAAGATGCGGCCACCCCAGAGGGCCGCCTCGTCCATCACGTCCTCCTTCAAAAGCTGCTCCAGCTCCTGAACACAAATTTGAATTTGAATTTAAGTTTGAATTTGAGTTTATTCTTGTACGTTCATTTGTGGGGGGAAGGTCGTAACAGGAGGAAGCTAAAACTGCTGGACGTAGTTACATCAGCTGTTATCATATGTTATGTTTATGTTCATGTTCATATTCAAATAAAAATCCGTTAGAAGGGAGTGGGATGGAGATTCCACACCTCGTTTGCCCTCGGACTTTTTAATTTTGACCACTTTTGGTCGTTTATGTGCTTCAGGCCCGCTATGTAAATGTGTAGATCAAAACACACACCCTACACCCACACCCACACAGAAACACAGCCACACGAAGGACTTATCCCTGAAGATATATGTATACATATATCATACATATATATATGTATATATATATATATATCCCTGAAGATATACATATACATATACACACATACATACATACACACACAACACCCCAACCCACCTGCAGCTGAGCTGCGTGTATGCCCGCATGGTGCATGGCAGCGGCAGGCATCTCCAACTCGCGCCGCATGTACGGCGTCCCGTTGACGTACACCACCAGCTCCTCACGTACGTCCGAAATGATCACATGTGCCGTACCGTTCTCCGGCCCTGCTCCCAGCCGCCGCAGCAGAGCTGCCAGCTCAGACCCGGGTACATTGCCTAATTAGGGTTCAAAGAAACGCACGGCACCATAAGATTTTGATTTTACTTGTGCGGTGGAAAGAGCACGTTGCCAGTTCAGGACATGAACATCATACAGGCGGCGCGGGCGGTCACTTAGTTACTTGGACGAAGGGCGATATTTCCCCCCCTCCACCCCCCTTGGGGGACCTGGCGGACCTGCGCACAGGGCCCCCTAAGGTGCAGACCGGGTGTGACTGGTGGGGCAGACCGGGTGCAGCCTCGGCAGAGGTGCCAGCTTCGGAGCCCTTGTAGCGGCCCTTGGCGGGGACTCAGACAGCCAAACAGACAGCCAAACAGACAGCCAAACAGACAGCCAGACAGGCAGACTGACAGACTGACAAACAGACAGACTAATAGACAGTCAAACAGACTGACAAACAGACGGACAGATAGGCTTACGGGGTTGGCATCGTGTCGACATGTGATAACATCAGGTAATAAACAGATTTAGGCATGTCGA